CGTATAAATGTAGATTCGGAAATGCATTGTTTCCAAAATAAAGGGCGTGAAAGTTTTTTAAATAATGTTTTATAATTTAATTCATGTCGCGTTGTGATAAGGTTCTGATTTCGCCCTAACTAGATAGAAATTAAACAGGACCGGGGAAACTTTATACAATTTATTGATAAAAATGTACGCCAATGACTTTTTAATTTAGATACTTCCCAGTGGTGGAGAGACTGGAACTACTACTTTTGCGTCTCTTGAATTTTCTCATAAGTTTACGGGATAAAAAATTAAATATTTTTTTGTCCATGTCCATTTATCATAAAAATATTGCAGCCGCCATATTAATTTCATAAGACCTCTACCTTTTCCAAAGTAGTAATCTAAATCAAGGACTTTAGGTGCAGCGTAATTAAATCCGGAGTTTGTGCAGACTACAATCCAGTAATTTCCGTATCATACTGTCCAAACTCAACCTTACTCAAAACGCGTCATCGTACATAAACAACATTGCATATCTTTTTGTCATTCATAGGTCCTCCAGAAATCCAGGAAGCGTGTGTTCCCAAAAGTTGCTATACACCTCTCCGAGAAGGCTTCCCGGTAGAAATACCACAATCATTCAGCGAGAACTGATTGTAAAAGTGATTTCTTATTGCATTTCTTCTTCAATCATCAAATTACCCTTGAGAATTTCCATTACTTGAATTTCAAACCCGAATTTTCTTCATTAATGTTCAACACATCATCTTCCAGTTTTACCGTTCTTGCTGTTCTTGGCTTTGCTTTGTTTTAATGTTCCCGTTTCATGAAGGCGTAGATGAATGATTTCGGGGCTATACTACTAAGAAGATTTTCATTTAATTTAATTTAATTTAATATTTATTTAGTTAGTTAGTTAGTAGTTTAGGTCAAATCAGCTCCTTCTGACAAGAAACAACGCCGTCAAATTTCAAACAAACTTTAACACCCTGTATCCTGGAAACAATGCATTTCCGGACCTAATATTATAGGAACTTATTTCATAAATTGATCTGAGAAATCACCCCCGAATATTTTATAAACACCATATATATATATATATATATATATATATATATATATATATATATATATATATATATATATATATATATATATATATATTTACCACCGTAACTTTAAGAGGGCAATAGCTTCTCATCGAAAACACCCTGTATATTTTTTACTATTTAACGAACGCATTTGCGTAAATTATGAAGGAAAGAAGCCTAATCCAGCTTATCTAATGGAAATGGCAAATGTATATCGCCAGTCCATTACAGTCTACGACTGGTACAATACATTCGACGTGTAAATTTCATATTAACATGTTTAATCTAGCATGGACGGTCCAACGACACAGGCATGGGCTAACTGGATTACCGCATGCAAATTAGTGACTGATGAGATGAAGGTCTATGTATAGCAAGTTTGCCAACATAGGATACCCCTCTTGCACCTACCCACAAACAAGCAATTATAATTCTAATACCTACCTGTTATTTGACGATATTGATAACTGCCAACTGGCTAACGTCATTAATGTTTTACCTACTTCAAATTTCCTAACGCAAAACTTTAAAATAAATGGTTACTTTCGTCCTACAGTGTAGGTTTTTTGATCAACGAAAGTACATTCCGGAAAAATATCACCTGTAACCCACGTCTTACGGTATAATATTCAAAACAAATGTAACGTCTCGCCTCTGGTTGTAAAATTTATTATCCCGACAAAACCGGCATATTGGAAGAGGCAAGAGTTGCGAATAGGTGAAATGCGGATCAGTAAATTTTTCATACGTCGAATGCTTTCAGTGACACGCGGGATCCGCGGAAAATACAAGAATTTTAAATGTGACGCGATATCAAAGTTTCGCAGTCGAGATGTCGCGTATAACAATGGTCGAACGAAAATAAATAAATGACAAAAAAACAAAAAAGGTATAATTCCGCCCCGACCCATCTAGGTCAAAAAAGGTGAACGCAAATTTAGGGTTCGAATCGAATTTGCTCGTTTTAAAACATTTAATTGCTTGATTGCAAATCCTGATACTCTGTCATTTAACTTGAACTCCAACTGGGGAACGGAGCTCATATTCCATGCAGATACCTTCGTATTCCGCATGGTTGCCGAGGTAGATAATAAAAATCCAACAATATTATTTACCCGACGCAATGTCTGATATACTCCCAGCGTTATTATTGTTATTATTGGTATTGACAATTTCTATTGATATTTGAAGACATTTGTCGTTCCTGAATAAGCCCTCGGCGATGCTTAAAAGGACGAAATAAAATTCTTCATAGAAATTGGAGATTCGCTCGTCCGTCGAGTGTTCAGTCACTACGGGTTTTTATTGATGCTAGAATTCGATTACATTTACAATAGTTTGGTAGTAAACCGTCTCGATTAAATTTAAAAAAAAGCCCAGGCCTGGAGAAAGGTAATTCAATTTTATAGCAGTGTGGAATATATCGTTTTCCATCCTTCTTTCGCTGTTTTTAATATCGGACCATGCCACGAGCGGAACCGAAAATCGAACTTCAAAATCTTTTTCATGTCGCGCGTTTGTTGTTTCCGTTTTGATCGGCAAAACGTTTGTCACTTTTTACGGATTCAATATACAACATTGTCTATCGATTAGGAAGAAATAATAATAAACCTGATTGCGATGAAAGTTTCGAATGAAATATGGCAGAACAGGTCCGTACTTTGCTTAGAATTTAAATATTTGGGTTTTTGTTAGGAAAGATACTAAACAATATTTATTTATTTATGTATGCATTTATTTTTAAATCTAAAATAAAATTACAAATTATTTTTATTACCTACTTAAATTACTTAAAATTATTCACATAATATATCAGTATCACTATCGCCATCATCATTTGCAATATGGATATACGATTGTTCTGCTTTTTCTATATGTTTAACAGAATTTGTCCAACTTTGTTTAGGGATGTTAAAAACTTCGGTTCCTATAAGTTTGAGGACATTGGAGTTAACACGGGGAAAAACATTGTTACGATGAATGGCAGATTTCAGTTGGTGCCAAACATGTTTAAGTGGAAGCCTTAAAACTGTATGCCCTTTTGTAGGTTCAAGTTTTGTAGAATCTCAATTAATTGCTTTTTGGTATAATCTTCGTCAAAATAAATGTCGTTATTATACATGTAGTTTTGGATTGTTGCTTTTGTGTCACATGAGGAAAGGGTTTTGGTCAACTGTATACTGTGAGAACTTGCATTGTCCATTATAATGACGCCATTATGAGGAATGTTTGGAACTAGTTTGTTTTTAAACCAACTTTCAAATAAATCAGTGATGGTGTCTTCATGCTAATCCAGAGAAGAATCTTTAATATTTTTCGCAGACAGAGAAAGTCCATTTGTAATCCAACCATCTTTAGAGCCAGCATGCAAAATAGTTACTCTTTTACCTCTTTTTGATGACGCGTTTGTTTTACACTTATCAGTTGAGTCAACCCAACCTTTTTTCCGGGGTATCATAAGTGTCGAACCTTGTTTCATCCAAGTAAATAATTGGCCTTTGTTGTTCTCTGTCCTAATTTTTTCTAGATATTCCAGTCGCCATTTCCGAATTCTAAAAGATTCCATTAAAACTTGCCTTTTGTCAATTTTTTTAAATCTAAAACCCATGTATTGAATACACTTCCATAAGGTAGTTCTGCGACATTTAACACCGGTTTCTTCTTTTTCAAGCCTCCTAGTTAAGATGTCTAATGTAGGCACGCTTTGTTCCTCGTGTAACTGGTAAATTTTATGCCGTATTATGTCTTGATCACTTTCATCTACACTCGAGGAAATGTCAGCTTCGCTTCTTTTTTTCCTTACTGAAATGGGATTATTCGCGATTTTCCATACAGTTGATGTTGGAATTTTCGTCAATGTGGCCGTTTCTTCTAAAGATGCTTGCTTGCTGGCACCACGTTCAATGAGAGTCAAATAAACATTGTTTTTAACTTCCTTAGTCTCAATAGAATAGTGTTTTCTACATTTGGGCTGGAGCATCTCCTGAGATACACTAGACTCGCACATATTTTGCATAACACACGCTGCATTACACACGAAATAAGAATGATTACTAATAAACTTAAACTCTAGTAGTATACTAAACCAAAGAATATGAAACACAGGTAGGTATAAAATTATTTTCTATGAATACAATTTTACCTCAATTTAAATTCCGTATCGTATCTGTCTTATTTCCTGTCGGTCGTATTGCTGCAATATTGTGGTATTACCACTGTTTACACACCTCTTATCGGCTACAGAAAGTTCAGAAAATTTTATATCGCTTTAGTTCCAACTCACGGAAATTTGACCATATATCCGAAGCATTTAATAAATTAAATTGGTTAAAAATAACCAATGTTTTCAAGCACAACTTGCTGTGTTGTTTGAAATGTGTGGTAAATTCAAGCACTCCTAAATATTTGAAAGACAAATCAGTATTTAGGAAATCAATTCATGACCCGAATCTTAGACAGCGAGCAACACTCACTATGCCGTTACATAGAATTGGAAAATGTCGATGTTCTTATATCACGATCTTATATAAAAGTTGTTGTTAATTAATTAATGTTATAATAAGCTTCTTCCCCGATATGTACATAATTTGTTGTTATATTTTCATGCTTACTTTTACTCGTAATTTGAAATGCGTAGATTGTATTTAGATATGTTTTAAGCCAGACTTTTCTCATGTAATCTTAATAGGGACTAAATAAATAAATAAATAAATATACAACACTCTCTATCGATTAGGTAAAATAATAATAAACCTAACGGCGATGAAATACGTTCAAGCTTCGATATTAACTTCCGTGTGAAACTTTCCGTTTTGTTTAAGTTTGTGTAAAGTTTCTTATGCAATAGTGCCAAGTTTTAGTTTCCGTAAATTGAGGCGTCTCATAACTTTGTTACATATACTTAGGAATAAATAATATATTAAGTTCATGTTTTTTTAGGGGTCGAATCCCACACTCACGGGCCAGTGTATTTGCTGGAGCCGCCACCTCGACTTACATTTTCAAACACCACCGGGTCCCAAGTAAGTTGTTCAGCCCATGGTTCTCCGAACCCTCAGGTCGAGTGGTTGCTTCACGATGGAAAAAGGGTCACCGCCGTTCCTGGCCTCAGGTAATTGAAACGCGCCTGTTACATCTTGTTTGTCGACTTGCTGTAACGAGAACTTTCCTATTTGTCGAAAAATAATAATACCCAATACAAGTGTTATGAGAAAAATTGAACAAGTTGGCAAAAGAAACCCTGCAGTCGATTGATCCTACGTTAGTTCCAAATTTCACCTTTCCTCGTACGTTTTTACTCTTGCAAAATAATCAGTAAATCGTAAAACTGCAAATTACTTAACGTAATGTGCCGGATTTTGCAAAATATGGAAGTGCGTTTTAAATTGAGTGTCAAATTGAGTTCAATTTTAATTGCTCCCTCGACTTGCTTTTTATAAAACGAGCTAGACAAAGCGACAATTTTAATAAATGGAAACTAGAAAATGTAAATCGCCCCTACGCAGTTAATTTAGCTCCAACAATGGATGATAACATGATGCCATCTGCAAACAACGACCGATATACTGGCAGAACGATAATTTATGTAGAATGGGTTGATTTGTTGATTCAAAAATGTACGCGATTATTATACGTATACTATATACGGCGCGTTCGTAGATGTTAATATTTTTAACTTTAAACATATTAATATTGGCATAAGTAATTCTAATAAAAATGATGTTCGAGTTGTTTAAACAAATATAGATTATTTACAGAGTATTAAATATCTAGTGAACTAATTTATTGTATCCAGGGCACCGATAATATAATATACAATGTAAGTTTCTTATAAAAAGTATTGAAGGCAGTATAAAAATTAAAGACAAAAATCATTTCGTGAATGCATTATTAATTCGACGACTGGAGATACTTGATTAGTTGCAACGTTGTGGAAGTAAATAATAAAGATAACAAATGTCCAAAATATCTCATTTGGGAATACTGTATTCACCTGAGAACGACTAGAGATATTTGATCAGTTGAACCACAGCGGAAGCAAATAATAAAGATATTATAAGTTGAAAATATCTCATTTTATGAATAATGTGTTCACCTCACGACGACTGGGGATACTTGATCGGTTGAAACGTTGTGGAAGTAAATAATAAAGATAACAAATGTCCAAAATATCTCATTTGGGAATACTGTATTCACCTGAGAAAGACTAGAGATATTTGATCAGTTGAACCACAGCGGAAGTAAATAATAAATATATTATAAGTTCAAAATATCTCATTTTATGAATAATGTGTTCACCTCACGACGACTGGGGATACTTGATCGGTTGAAACGTTGTGGAAGTAAATAATAAAGATAACAAATGTCCAAAATATCTCATTTGGGAATACTGTATTCACCTGAGGTCGGCTGATCAGTTGAAACGGTGTAGAAATAAATAATAAGTACAATACAAGTTCAAAAACAATCCATATCTGATATCTTATATCAGTATTACGAAAAGCAAAATATTTTTTTTTCATGAAATTGATTACAAAACATACTTCTATTCGCCCCCATCCTCTATCCGTACACATATTGGGTGCCAATAAAATACGAATCCGTGTCAATATTATTCATCAATTAATATGCTAAAGAGCTTGTTTAATTCCCAACCTGAAAAAAAAAACTATCAAAATTATTTCCTCAAAAAAGACACGTTTGACTTTGTAATACACTCGAATGTAATTAACGCTGAATTGATCCAGAATCCAGACTACCATCTGCGTTTTATTAGGTCAGGGGCTAGTAGCTTAACAAACATATCAGTTGCTAAACGCGATTTCCAATTGGGTTTCGGTTGGGAATGCAAACGGAGTTTTTGTTGACACCACCACATCCAAGTCGTTTGTGCTTACTTAAACAGAGAAATTTAGATTCATTTGAGAGGCCAACGCCGACGCAGTGGATAAATAGACGAATTAGTCGGGATTGCTATTTGCGTTTCGATTTGTAGGGGGCTTAAGGGTAAACTTCAGTTATGTCGGAGGGTAAGGAAAGCTTTGTTACAAGAGCTTCATATCGTGATTTCCTCCCATTTGTTTTTTTTAAATCTCATAAATAATGATCCAAACTCCAAAAGGTTTCCCGTTCTTTGCGGTCTTCGGGTAATTTGTATTTTTCTGTAATTGTTACCTTTATTTCCTGTTTCGAACATGACGTCTGCAAACAGTTGACGTTAAGAATATATACCGGGAAAATATAAGAAGCAATAGCAAAATATTTACAACTGGAACTCGGATCCATCCTTACAGGAGTTTCTTATTTCCACAAATAACGGATAATCGTAAATTCTTGAAAAAAGGAAAAACAACATCGGCGAAAGAAACCGAGAAACTCAAGATGCGGCGATGAATTATCCCGAGTGGTATTTTAGGAGGTGGATTGTTGGTCGGGCGTAAGTGATGCGGTAGGCAGCAACGGCAACAGTTTAAGTAGAAGTTATAGGCGGCGGTGGTGCGGTAGGAAGAGAGGAAGAGACCCCTAGAGAATTAAGAGCCTCAAGTATCGAACTCCAGAGTCGACGACGCCATCCTATTTATCGTAAGTTGGCGTTTGCCGCCAACTTCAATTAACTTCTTACGTTAATTGACCATTAATCGTTTCGTTCCCTTTATAGGGTCGTACCTACGTACGTTAAATAAATAGAGGTGCGGTTTTAATATTATTATTATTGTGATCGTCCCGAAAAGTTTCAAATATGCATTACAAAAGTGTAAATAAATTGGACAACGAAAAAATGCCATTTAGCGACTGTAAATACCTAATATGAAAAGCAAACTGTGAAAGTTATGTTCTAAAACAATTAAAATCAGTGTTAAAAATCGAACGCCTGATTCGGCTTTATTTTGCGAGGCTATTTGTGTCTCATAGTCGTAGAGGTTATTTAAAAATATATATTTTAATTGTACATAGTTTAAATACTTGTAGTTCAACCTCCGCACAAATACTTGAAAATCAAAATTCACTGTGCGGTGTCCTCGATGTGTAGGTCCATTACTTTTTAATAACTCCCCAAATAACAAAAGTACTTTGCGAATCTTCAAAGTTATTTCAAAAAAAAATTTATATCACAAAAAAAAACTTTCCATGGTATAGAAGATTATTACAAATTGTAGCATAGGGCCTGTTTTGGTTTTTTCTTTTAGGTTAATTTATAACACACCTGTTGTATATTGTGCTCAACTAATACTAAATTTCTACGTCCTGCGTTATCACTTCTCACTGCTACAAAGCGCTTTTTAAAAGTTATTTTTAATTTTGCCACCTTCCCCAATTTCATAGCAAAAGTCGTAAATTTAGCAATGAAGTAACAACGCGTTAATTATATTTTTGTTTAATTATTTTTAGCCTGAAGTACTTTTTTCGAGTCAATTTTAATTTAAATAATAATAAACATACGACTAAGGTTATGAATAATATCAAATCGTGTTAATTAAATTAAGTCAAGTTAATAAATTTGAATGGAAAATCATATGGAGAATCAAACAATGTCAGTTCACTTTAACACCATGTTTTGACGGTTTTGTGAAATCAACTCTAACGATAACAAGACTTAAAGATAAAAAAATCGCTTTTTAATTGATAGGGTTATAACGTGACTTGTTTCTACCCAACAGGCCCTCGCTTTTGAGCATCCGGATTCCCGTATTACAGTGTAAACAATGCAAGAGAGAAAGGCAAACATCATTAAAATCAAGACATAAAAGACGCTAAAAGAGTCTCGTAAATTACTACGGTTACTCTCTGTAGCACGTTAACATCCGCGTTCCCATTATATACGGTCTCCGGTCATGTCGTTGATCACATTTCTATAGCTGGCTCAGGGTTTTGTTTTAAAAACTTTTATATAAAAGGGAATAATGGATAAAAATGGAGAACACACCGGAGTAACGTGACCGAAAAGACGAAACAATAGACTGTCGGAATAACAGGACCAACTTTAACGGACTAGATATTAACGCACAACCGCGTGTGCAGGCAATATTGATGATGCTTAGCAGGAAGGACGTAAATACGTTCTAATTAATCGGCACGTGGATCAAAAGAAATAGTACGTCGAATTGTTTAACCGGAAACATATATAATAATATAATATAAAATATATATATATATATATATATATATATATATATATATATATATATATATATATATATATATATATATATATATATATATATATATATATATATATATATATCGATCAAGCTAAACCAAATAGACCGGGCATGCAATAGCTTGGACCGATTGCAATAATATTTTGGCATCAAGTTCGCAAAAGTAGGAAAGATTATATGCCAAAATCAAGTAAATGATTTTATGGAAGAGTTAATCCAACCCAATCTAGTGACCTGTGCAAATATCTCTCGGCGCTGCATTATTGCCAGTTAATTCTATTTATTTATGTATGTGTTTACAATTACCAGGTTCCGGTAGCAATTACGATTAGTCGATAAACGTTGGAAATTGGATGAATATGAAAGGCACATCCGTTGCGCCGACTTAAATTAAAAAATAAAACGGGTCTAATTTATAATTGGAAATTAATCGAAAACTTTGCCTTATGAAAACCACACCTTTGCAAAATAATACATTCGTATATGGGTTAAATTTAAATTCGACACAATTTATCGTATCTTAATTGATTACACGTGCTAACTTTAGTTTAACCTTCAACATGCAGTTAAAAATAAAAAGAAATGTGTTTTGAAATTATGATCTATTTAATTAATTCGTCCAGGTTAATTATACAAGAAAACACCAGTGTTTTATGTTTTATCGGCATTCATAGAGCACAATTTCACAATGCTGGGGTTAGAACAGAAACAACTGGGAAAACGTTTTGAACCGCCCTATGTTCTGTTTCTTAATGCGAGATACTTATAAAGTGTAAATTAGCATCGACAGGGAAAAGTTAAAAGTTATATTTCAAAGTACAGATAAATTGAAATTATACTTTCGTATTTCAGATTTTAAGACCCACACACCCCGAATCGTTCCTAAATTAGGTTAGGAAAATAATGTGAATGCTATCAATTTATCCTACGTTGCACCAAAAACTTAAATAATACAGAATACAGATAAAAATATTATAAAACGTCAGTTCTGTGCTAGTTTGGTCTCCTGGGTACAGTTGTCATATTGTAAGTTTTTCAAGTATGTGTGGTATAAGTATAATGCTTTGTACTATAGCCTACCTGTTAGTTGGACTTCATGCCTGTTAGGTAGACTTTTTCAAATAAACAAATAAATAAATAATAAATGTATATATATTAGGGAGTGATCTACAACTGTCGTCGTTTCTCGATTCCCACTTTCCATAAATCGCGATTTCACCAGTCTCCTTCCTTAAGACCTCTTTGCTCCATGGCCTGCGCTACATCGTCTCTCAAATCTATTGGCGGATGGATGGATGTTCCATTGCTTCTTCTCCAGTAGTCCATCTCCACCGCCGGCACTTTATTCTTGCCTCTTTTGTTTAATCGATAGATAGAATAATACGTAGTTAATGTTACTACGAGGATGTAGTATTTTTTTTTTTTGCTCAACTTTGGAGCATTAAGCTTAAGCTGAAATGTCTAGAGCGCATTGACCAATTGTGGAAGATATGTGTTGATAGCTAGTGACCGTTGTTTGCATTTTTAGTATCTTCAAGTATTTGTGAACCGATTTTCTTGTTGGATTAAGGGGTAGGGTTTATTTTTTAAAGTATATAGTGAGTATATATATAGTATATATATATAGTGTATATATATATATATATATATATATATATATATATATATACATATACATATATACTATATATATATATATATATATATATATATATATATATATATATATATATATATATATATATATATATATATATATATATATATATATATTATATATATATATATATATATATATATATATATATACTATATATATATATATATATATATATATATATATATATTGCAGGATTCCAGTCGGATGCAGGATTCCAGTCGGAGTTCAACGAGCGAACGGATGATATCCCGGAATATAGTGTCATCACATTTTTCCATCCGTGAATCAATACGTGAGAATATATATATATATATATATATATATATATATATATATATATATATATATATATATATATATATACTATATATATATATATATATATATATATATATATATATATAATATATATATATATATATATATCATATATGGACCGTATAAAGTTTAAGCATTTTTTTTTTCATTCGTACGTCCTCCAGAAATCTCAAAAGTTGCTATACACCTCTCCGAGAAGGCTTCCCGGTAGAAATACCACAATCATTCAGCGAGAACTGATTGTAAAAGTGATTTCTTATTGCATTTCTTCTTCAATCATCAAATTACCCTTGAGAATTTCCATTACTTGAATTTCAAACCCGAATTTTCTTCATTAATGTTCAGCACATCATCTTCCAGTTTTACCGTTCTTGCTGTTCTTGGCTTTGCTTTGTTTTAATGTTCCCGTTTCATGAAGGCGTAGATGAATGATTTCGGGGCTATACTTTTATATATATATTTATATATTATATACTATAGAGCAGCAAGGAGATCAACATTGTTGGGAAGCTTTCGGAAATTTTTTGGCCTTGACAGAACTATATGGTATGATGACAGCGCTTACTGATTACTCTAAGATCAAGAAAATAAAAATTTAATATAGAAGTAAGAATAATATGGAAATAGGTAAATTGCCATATTTTACCAAGGGTATATTCTTCGTCTACCCAAATTTCGTCCTGATAGTAGATATTCCCGTTTTCTACTAGGTATTGTCTAACTGCTCTCAAATATTGATGTCGAAGTTTTCCACAATTTTTTCTTACCGATGGGTATTTCAAGTAGATATTTCTTTTTTTTTAGTAAAACGAGTATATTATTGTTCTGATAACGGTTCGTTAATTCTCATTTATTACAGTTTCTTTTCTTTCGGTACTTGTCTTGCACGAGTCGGTGTCTTTTTCACTGTCCAACTCCAATTATATTCGAACACATTTCAACCATTTCTGCAATTCCGAATATAGAGTTTTGGTGGCGGAGTGCTTCGAATACATTGAAAAGAACAATTTTCTTATTTTTAAAAGCGCAGTCTTACTAATCTGTTTCTCAATAATAAATAAATTCAGAAACATAAGCCTACAATAAAGTCCAGTCAGAGGCATTGTGCAGGTGCGCTATGGCAGTATAGCTAAGACATACGGATCATTTTTGCTTACGTAACTGCACAACTGCAGTGACTGGAGTATACTACGCCTATGGATTATGGCTAAGATCACTAAATTTTACAGTTAATGATTTATAATTCTCTTGCATTACGGAGCAGCGCATAATTCCGTACCCAAGTTCTATTAGTCAATAACCATATCTGAATATATGTTTCATTCCCAAGCCCCGGCGTAATATTGGTTTTATTGGGGCGTTTTTAATTTTCACGCTAGCCAACACGAGAAAAGTATAAGTAGAATTTTACTACAATAAAGAAGCCCGAGATAAAAATTTAATAAAACGACAGAAGGGCCGTGATTGATGATCGAGAAATTCCCTATCGTTCTTAAAGCGAGAAATTTAATCATAATTTTGCGGTTGAACCGTCCTATTTAATCCGCAAGTACATGTTATATATCGTAATTTGGCAACCGTTGCCATCGAGCAGGGCAAACTCTAGTTTTTCATCAGCGCCGCGGCTCTAGAGCAATCCAAACATAATCGAGAGTAGATTATATGCAATTCGATCACTTTTAAAATGTAGGGACAAAATTTATACGGATCCCGATTTTTTAATTTCGACGCTAGTTGAAAGTAAATATTTAAACGTATAATTTGGAACGCCGCACGAGGGTTTGAATGACTTAAGCTCGTTTCGGGACGACGTCCTCTGTAGACATCAGAAACCTATAGAATGAATTAAATGCGCACGAGGAAGAGCGGGAAATGGAAATTCAATCAGCAAATTTCTTGATTGCAGACAATCATTGGGCAACGGTACGTTGTATTTTCCGCCGTTTAGGGCGGAAGACTACAGGGCGGATGTCCATTCGACAATGTATAGATGCAGGGCGTCCAACATAGTCGGAACGATATTGAGCCGAGAAGTGCACGTACAAGCGGGTAAGTTTTTAACGTTCCCCCAATGCTCTTATCTAGTCTAGAGTTGAGGTATATCAATGAAACAAAAATTCTTATAATAAAACACTTAACATTTAAGGATTTAAAACTAAATGAAAACACACAATGGTTTTCTTAGAACACAAAATGTTTATTAGCAGATTGACGTGCTTTCTGTCTCTCCAGTCCTCTTCTTGTAGATTTCTTTGGGTCATTGCGTTTCTTATACCGTCTACCCATGTGTCCCAATTCAATATTTTTTTTTGGCCATCTATCATCCTGCATTCGACATACGTGGCCGTACCATTTTAAACTTTTGGCTTCGATAGTGTCAACAATGGTGGTGTCTATCTTCATTCTTTGTTTTATCTCATTGTTACTTATTTTGTCTAGCAGTGTTAGTCCACAACAGCGTCTCCAGTAGTCCATTTCCATTGCCAATAATCTTTTACGTAAATAATCAGTCATTTCCTATACTTCGGCCCCATAGGTTGTAATACTACCTACAATGGTCTTATAAATCCTGATTTTCTGGTCGAATTTGGGTACTCCACAGTATTACATTTAACTGCTTTGTCGCATGTTTATTTTTACTGTTTACAAACTTCTGGTAACTGCCGATATATTGTTTGAGGGGGGCGGAGCTAAATTAGGAGCATAAACATCATCTCGGATGACTGATTCCCGTATTGGTGACAGGGGAAAGACCTGAGTCGCGGTTAATGATTGTTCGGTTGCTTAATATTTCGATAGATTCTCGGGTCGCTAGAAGAATTCATTACATGCAAGAATTTTAGTTTCATCGAATAAAATTTTATGTCCGCTTTTGTGATTGTGTCTGGCAACTGCGGATGAGTTTATTTGTCTTATATTCTTAAGGCTCTTTCATGTTTTTTGAGCCTAGTTGATATTTTTCGTCCGGTCTCTCAAATGTGTTCTTTGCCGCAAATGCATGGAATGCCGTAAACTCCTGGCTTCTCAAACGAAATTTTGTCTTCGACGGATCGAAGATGTTGAGAGATTTTTGAATAAGTGGTAAATCTGGTTTTGACGTTATATTTCTTAAAAACTTTTGATATGTGGTCAGTGATGTTTTGAACGTAAGGAAGGACAACAGTGGCAAGTGTAGGGTTGCTTCTGAACCCATTGCTTTTGGAAAGTTGCGGTGAAGTATATTTTGTGATGGAGCGCTTAATATCTTTAATGTGGAAATTATTGGAGAGAAAAGAAGAGGTAATTAATTTTAGGTCTGATGAGAAAATCAGATAGAAATTGATAAGAATATATGGGAATGGGAGGTTATCATTTTATTGATAGAGTGTATAGAGCTTAAATGTCTAAGAAAATCTAGTAGGGAATCTTGACCATGAGACCATAATTTTGGTTTTAGATGGAAGGTATTGAAAGCCTTCTCCTCAAACGGTGATAACGGAGAACTCATAGCTGTTCCCTAAGTCTGTTCAAAAATTTGACCGTTATGAGGAAAGTATCTTCCAGACAAGCATTTTTCAATTAAAATTAAAATAAAATAGTACCAGATTCGTGGAATTTAATTTACCTGAAATAATAATAAGAGTTACAGAAATAGGGACTACCTGGAAACTAACCAGAATAACCTGTGATCTAATGTAATGCATTTTAATTGTGCAATGAAATTTTAGTATAGAAACTAGAAATTTTTGCTAGAGAATATGTTGGAGACAATAGGTGGAAGGAGTAATGCTGGTTTGTGAATCTTAAGGAGTCACGGGGATGATTTTTTCAAGGAGTCCGAATCTTTTTTAAGTTGACCATCTGTAAGAATATCTTGAATCTTTTCCGGATATTCATTTGTGTTCATGACCAGCGTAGCATTTCCTGCTTGCTTTTGCGATGTCGTGATTAGATTTTAGCGATTTGTGTTTTGTCAATGAAACATGTCACTGCTTGTAAATTTATGCGAATGATCTAGTAGACATTTTGTTTACAAAAAGACATTATGGAGTATTGGCTAAAAAAGGATACAATGATGCTCCCAAAAGTCCATATGCTGTATATAATTTTGCTTCCGTAAGAAGAAAAGAAAATTGTTTTTTTAGTAACATCGATATGGTCGAAAATATCAAAACATACCGTTCCGGCCGATAGCGGGTAAAAGCTTTAATTGCAAAAACTCGCGGGAAAAGGAGAACGGACCTGCAAAGTTAAAAGTAGAACTTAGAATCATCGAATGTGTTAATTACACTAAAAGCTTAGCCCGTGAAACATTAAATTAATTGGCTAAATCCAAACTCGATTAGCGTTTTCAAGTTTACGCACACACCGAGAGAATAAAAATTGAAAAAAAAAAGATATTTTCCAAATTACCAACGTACGAATAACGTCATCGCCGGCAAAAATAACCTGGATCCCAGCTGTTTCGTATTTTATATCTAAATAGATGTGACCAAGCAGTGTGTATACGGAGGCACCAAGGGAAATCAAAACCGCCAAACTTCTATTATTCAGTCGAAATTGAGCCCGATCGCACTGCCTAAAATGGTTTTACTTCGTTGTTGGTATTATATGTGACATTTTCATGTTGCAAATACATACGAAAGCAGCGAGATTTCGCCACCCGGTTGGGAGACTAGGAGCACTACCAATGGCTACGACATTTATATATCGACAGACCAATAAACATGTCATCTATTTATTTAGCATTACTTACTCAAACTAAAGAAAACTCACAGAACACGTTGAAGTATCCGGGACAAATATGTAAATGAGTACGCCTTTGCTCAGCACTATTTTCTAGGTTATAAGATTTTCGAATCGTGTGGAATCTGTATCAAAGAGAAATCAAATTCGCGCCCTCAAAGAAACCAACGCGTTGAAATTTGTATTTGATGATGTAGCGTCGGTTTAGATTCTGCTTGCTTAACGGATTAAATCTAATTTTAAAGGACCGAGCGGGAAATCCGTTTATCTGCCATAATATCTGTCAAACGTTTCTAAATATAATATAGGCATAATTACATGTATATATAATTGTGGTTTTATTTCCTTCGATTCATTAAAAATTTGTTCAATCGCGATAATAGGGAATATCTGACGTTTCAAAAGCCGAAACGTCAGTGTGCGTCCTACCAGCTTCGTCATAACTTTTTTAATTAAATTAGCAAACTTAGCGATTTTCAGCGAAGTTGTTATCACATTAATTACTTAATTAGCACCAGTTGCCGCATGTTGAACAAATTCGCTATATCGTTATATTTACTTTATAGTTTACTTCATCCCTTTCAACCGCAACACAATGTGGTATTGATAGAGGCGTATTAAAGGAAAACATATGCGCAGTGTTAAATATGAAATATTAGCTGAACAAGGAAAATTGATTTTTCTAGACGCGTTAGTATTGAAGCGTCTAAATGATATTTTTCATGATAATTTCAAGGATTTGTTGATTTTATTGTTTTGTGTGGATTCGCATCGACATTTTGCTTTTTTTTTTAAATCTGTCGGGCTGAAAAGAAGGGAGATGCATAAAACATTTTTCACACTTACTGTTACGATACGAAAGTCGAATCTCCGACGGTTTTCGAGGGCGACCGATATACAATACCGAGTAAACATAAGGGTGATGTCGTTCAATAAAAAACTGATGAATGCGGAATATGAAAAGAGTGCAAATGCAACGTTTTTAAAAGGGTCGGTATAAATATGCAAGGGTGATGCCGCATCGGATAGGTTACGGTCCGCTACACACCCTTTCTTTCACGCCAACTGATCAACTAACTCATTATCTATAGACGACGCGAAGCACAAAACATCCAGATTTTGCACACCACCGCCGTTTCAAACTAAAATTACAAACATTGTCGCACTTGCCCCTGAATTAACTTTCATGCGTCCCTGTCTGCTATATAAGCACATTATTATTCATAGCTTCTTTAGCGCTCGTTATTCCAACCTCGTTAATTATATAAAAAATACTTTGTATTTTCATATCGACCTTCTTAACCATATTGCATTAATGGCGTTGGATTGTACTTCGTGTCCCTGAGTATTACTTAACTATTCCCACTTCGGAATGTAGCTTGGTTAAAGTTGCCCCTCTCTCAGTGCTTCGATTCATTAAGATTAAGTGATGTTATCCAGATTACTAATATTTGACAACATTCTCAAGCAATTAAATAAATTTAACAAGGGCGTGTCTCGCATAAATATGCACTCCTAATGAAGAGTTTAATTAAGTTGAAAACATCAAACAATCCGGGTTTGTTTTGGTCCTACATACCGACGAAATGGGAATAGTCATATATTCCTTGCTAATAATTTTGTGTGTGTTCGAATTTCCAAAGACCCACCCGACACCAAAAATCATCGCTTTAAACTATTCTATCGACTTTCGTTGATTTTAATCATATAAATTAATTAATCGATATTCTCTTCGCCCGTTCAAGAAGCACATTTAGAGGGGTCTCCTTTTTTTAAAACTGTTCCAGTGGTAAACGAGCACTACGAAGTAAACGTGTATCACAGCCACGTCATAGCAGGAAATACTGCTGTTTTAAAGTGCGTGATACCATCGGTGGTGAAAGAACACGTAACGGTTACATCCTGGTCGAGGGACGAGAGTATTTTACTTCCTGGTCCCAATATGGGTGAGTAAAAAATTGTCGTTGTTCAGATAGACGTGCATATCAAAAGAATGACAATAATGTTTGTCCGAGATTGTTTACTGCGATTGTGAAAAAATAAACATTTAACCTATTATTCAAAGCAAACTTGTTGGAGGCAATCGATTATACTTTAGAGAGTGTAAAACTTAAAGTTGCGTTTCCATCGAACGAGAGGGATACAGTTCTAACTAGCAACTTTGGCGTAAGTGTAATTAACGATATTTGATATTGTTCTCGGGTATCGTATTACTAACGTCATTTCTGGGAAGTGAAGCGGCGGAAAGCACTTTGAAATGTATCGTTTACAGCCCTTAACGATAACATTCCACCAAAAATATTTGTTAAACCCTCTGAGGTCTTAATCGACGTTAAATAATAAAAGTATAAAAATATTTGACGACGTCATCGGGACTGGTTGACGCGGTAATTAATATCAACCCACAATTATAATTTCGCATCGATGTACGGGATGTAATTAAATCGTTAATAATATAATTAATATTGGACGTTATATATCCCAATTTTATGTAAAAACAACTCTGAATAACACGTTTCCTGATGGAAGGGATGGTGAAAAAGATACATTTATGTTTAATATCGGCATAGAGTGTGACATCAATTATTATTTCGATTTAGGGCACATCGAAATTATGTTCAAACATTTCCGGTTGATATTAGGAATATTAATACGTTCATTGTGTATGCGCGGTTGTCACGTTGACGTGTTTTTATACTCCAGGTGGTCGAATCGTTGTGACGTATGGATCAGGGGATCTTCTGATACGTTCTGCAAGGGCCGATGACAGCTTGCCGACTTACTCTTGCCTAACAATTCATTCACTTACTCAAGAAAGGAAGAGGAGCGTCACAGCCAAGTTATCTGTGATAGGTTATATGTTCTTCTCTTTCGTCCAACGTAGATGTTTAGTTTTATGAGTCTCGAATTAATTGTACCAATGGCGCCACCTTTAATTCGAGATAAATGAACTGGATAACCGCTGACAAATAATAATAATTAGGAGCCTTTATATATTCAAGTTTCTCACAAAATATGATTCGCCTACCGCATGCAAAATAACAAGACGAAATATCAAACGGCTTCCGTAGACATATAGATTGTGTGGAATCTTTTGCTTTATAATATATATTTGAAGGATGGTGTTTGCGTATTTCTGGATAAGTACGGACGAATCCGATATTTTCTCATCGTCCTTTCATAAGGAAGTTTTGCGATTACAGAATCAACGAGAAGTGTAGCGCCTAGATTAACCCCGACCGTCCTAACGGCACTTACTACATATCGAGAGACTGATATTCATTTAACTTGTACTGCTCAAGGAAATCCGCCTCCTAATTTTGGGTAAGATCGCCCCTCCCTTATTTTGCAAACTAGTTGCGATTGGTTTGGCCTAGGTGGTTTCGCGATACCAACGGTCATTTGCAACCGGTTCAATCATCGTCGCGATTCGAGCCATCTCAAGACATTATGCTCATAAAAAGACTGAAACCTGAAGACTCCGGAAGGTGGACTTGCAAGGTGCACAACAGTTTCGGAGAGCAGAGACTGGACATACATCTAACGGTAGTTGCGCATCTGAGCGTTCACGTGCTGCCCCAGCTTCAGGTGAGGTCAAAATTAATACGCATCAAAAAAGGACGCAGACGAGAAATGGAATTTCATTTTCGGATTATCCTCTCCGGGGACTAAACGTTTGCGTCAGCATTACGCTTGACTTCTTTGAGATATGCCGTGGCGTTGTATTTTTATTTATACTCCAACCCTATTACCTATTTCTGTTTTGTGTATTTCGCTAAGCGTGGTAAAAATGACTTCGAATTTTCATAATCAACATGATATATAACATCCGCGAACGAAAGTATTAATATAACGTAAATTGAATTAAACCAGTTTGCAACTGAAAATGATCAGGTATCAATGTGCGTTCGCAATACTGCGATATTAATGATTTATAAATATTTATATTTATTTATATATTTTGGCAGTATCTGAGTCTTGGCTTACAAGAGTGTGTATCTAATAATGAAATTCAAATTTTTTTTTTGTTTTAATTTTTGTAAGCGAGGAGAAGGTTGTCTGGGCTATAATGGGATTGAAGTAAAATTACGCTAGAAACGGTAAAACTTCTATGTCGAACAGTACTGTCTATTTTAATTCAACTGTTTAATCTATGTAAAAAAAAAATGTATATTTCCTGCGATGTGGTTATACCGTTACTAAGGTTGAGTAAGCCTAATACTGTTGCCGATCTTTGACCTATTAACCTGTTGCCAGTGCTTTCTAAAGTATTTGAAAAACTGATAGGTAAAAGGAGCAGATAAGGAGGAAATATCTTCTTTGTTGTTATTAGATTATAGTAAAGCTTTCCATACCCTCAATCCTGCTGTGCTCGCTCTGTTCCAAGTTAAAATTCTACGGATTTAAATTTAAGACGAATCATCTATGAGCCCTGCTTGGATGTTTTGACAAAATCAAAATTACAAAGTTCCTGTATTCGATTTATTTAAAACCTTAAACGACGAGATCATGAAAGTCATAAACTTTAGAAATCGCATTCATTTCCATAGAACTCGTTTTAATTGTCAGCATGAAATACCTCACATTAATTAAGAGGCCCATGATTGAAAGCTGGTCCTCATACACATCTATGTGCTGCTTAACAAATATCCTCAGATTAGCTAATCGCAGAATATCTCTCTTTTACGAAGATATGCCTATACAATTAAGCAATTTCCCTTGATTTAATATGTCTTTTTTTATTGTCCCAAGTCTTCAGTTCAGCTGACTTTCACCGAGCTTAAAGTAAAGGCGGTTTTATTTATTTATTTTATTTGAATTTTTGGAAAACAAAATCCGCGCTAGGAAAGAAAATTTCGCTCCTAGGTTATCAATTCCGGAGATACCGCAATTTTCAACTGCACCGTTTCCGGAAGCCCCGTGGGACGCGTACAGTGGTTGAAGAACAGCGAAATGATTCATCCAGATGAAAATGGAAAAGTTAAATTGTTAAGCCCTTTGGTGCTCCAAGTGAGTGAAGTGACCCGACACGATAAAGGGATGTATCAATGTGTCGTCCAGAATGAGAAAGAGAATGCCCAAGGCAGCGCCGAACTTCGATTAGGCGGTGAGTTTTCCCCATTTCCTTTCGAATAGATTTTCTGGATAGAATTCGGATTTCCTATATTAGAAATTTATTTTTTCAATTCCGTCATCGTCAGCCCTTAACCCGTTTTGAACGGAACTCGCTTTCATCGCGCAGGGAAGGGGTGGAAGGGAGGTTTTTTATGACGAATTTCTAGAAGGCAGGGTGAAAAAAGCGTTGCATAAATAAATAAATAAGAAGTAAGCGGTCTCAGATCGCGACAATCAATTACTTAGGGATGACAGATTATCGAATGTTTACGGCAATAAACGACTATTTTTTATTACCAATTTGCTCGGTTTCTACAATAATGTCCTCCGTACAAGTTCGTTTATTGCCGGCAATAAGAAGCAAGCTCATTAGCTGAGTGTGGTTTTATGTGACTCCAAAAAATTCCTCTCCAACTCGAGTAAACAATATTAAATAAAAGTACATTCTAGGGGTTCAGTTTGACCGATGATACATTTACAAAACCGCTTAAGGCAGAGAAACATTTACATTAACATTAAGGAGCCCACATCTTTTGTAGAATTAATAACCCAAACGAGGCCGTATTCAACACTTACGATGAAACGGGACCCAGACAGCAAGAGGGAAAAACCACCCCGGAAATGAGTTCCAACTTCCGTCAACAGTAAATCACGCGAAGGAACGTTTCTCTCTTTTCTCATAAAATAATTTAATACTCGATTTCGGGGCGGCCAGTTTATTCCCAACCTCGCTGGTCGGTGGCGAAAGAAAAGAAAATAGCATTAAAAGTTTTCGATGGGTAATTAATTAAGTCGTCCATCTCCAATTCTGACATTTTGCTACCACCAAATCCCGACATTAACTAATAATTAACGTTATGAAAATCGAAACGCGGCTGCGTTTTATTTTGAATTCATTTCACTCAACCATTTCCACCATTTCGATCGATAACCAATCTAGTATCGAAACCGAAAGTTTTCCTTCAGAGATTATAGGAAACTTTTTATAGGATTTGCTTCGCACACTCACGCCAAATATCCACTTGTAGGATTTATTCTGATGAAGTAATGCGATGAAGCTTCGGAGTATATAAATATTTATCAATTTGGAACAGTTTCTTTATTTACGCCTGAGAATGATGACGATTTCTTACTTCAAGTTTCGATTCATTGTTGACGTTTCATCTCCGGGGATCCTCTTGGAGGGTTTCGATTTAATAAAACGAGGATTTCACTACAGACGTCGAAAACAACACTTTCATTAGTTTATTCGAAGGTCTGTTTAACCGAATTCCGATACAAACTACTAATACTTGGTCGGAGCTTTTTCACAAACCCCCGAACTCACTTTAATCTATTGTTCGTTGTTTTTTGTTCCAGACACGATTCCGGAACTGCAGTATAATTTTATCGATCAGGCTTTACAGCCTGGACCCCACGTGTCACTGCGGTGTTCTGCTACCGGATCACCACCACCTCAGTTCAGATGGTTACTCGACGGTCAACCCCTTTCCGGTATTACTCACGACAATAGGTGAGAATTTTGCCATCGACGGTCCCAATTTTCACGATCCTTTATAAACCGAGAACATTGGTTTTTGTTAGGCAGATTATGTTATTTTAGGGGGGTTCTTATCGTTTCAGATATGCCATAAGTCAATATCTCGACTACGTGGGGGATGTTGTTAGCCACCTAAACATAACGAACGTCAGGGTTGAAGACGGTGGCTTATATAGTTGCGTTGCTTCCAATTCGTTGGGAAGCGTCGAACACTCGGCAAGGATCAATGTGTACGGTATGTTTTATTCATTGCCGTCAGAAGAGAAAGCCCATTTTATGTATTATACGGGGAGGTTCTTCAGAGGGACCGAAACGACAGCCTAAAAGGCACTATAAAACCTTTTTAATAAACGTATATGACCGGGAATACTCTTCTTACAAAGGCTGGTATGGTTCACGAGACGGTTGCCACGTTTGCGGCGGCTTTTATTTAAATCAGGCAGAAAGATCTGCGCCAAATCCACATACTTAACTTTATTACTTTTTGCGAGGCGTTTGTTTAGCAGAAACTTCGTTTAACCGTTAACCGTTAACCGGTCGCGTAATTACGATCTTGGGACTTTTTTTTAAAACTTCAAGTTTCTCGATTGAAATTAAATTCAATTTTGAAATTTTGCGCGGGGGAAACCGGAGACAAAAGCTTCGCAAATACGAAACAATGGAGTTTTCTCCGGCTCTTCTGCCGGATTTAATTCTTCCAATTTGTACATAATTTGGCGAAATTCGCGGTTTTTAGTCCGCCACTTAATTAATTAATTTATTTATTTATTTATTATTTATTTAATTAATTAATTTCGCAGGAGGTCATTTAGTTTCGGGACGGCCGTTTAGTGATTTAAATTCCGGGAATCGATTTATTCATTTATAACGAAAGCTTTTTCCTTTCGTCTTTTACGGCGGAACATACATGTGGCGGTGCCGTTTTATATATATTCGAATTGCCTACCATATAAGAGGGCATTCGTCGAACGGGCCATGAATAAAACATGTCGGTTGTAGGGCCCCCCTTCATCCGATCGGTGGGCCCTGCGAAAGCGGTAGCAGGAACAGACGCGGTCCTGCATTGCCCTTATGCCGGTTACCCGATCAAGTCCGTAAGATGGGAGAGACACGGCCAGGAGCTACCGCAGGACATGAGACATCACTTGGACGAAGGTCCGTCGATACGTCGCGCCATTAGTTTTATCACGCGGTGCCGTTGCAGGAGGAGCTTTGACCATTCTAAGGGTCGATCAGAATACGGACAAGGGTTTCTACACCTGCTACGTAACCAGCCGCGAGGGACACGTGGCGCGAAAAGAAATAAGGCTTATCGTTAACGCTCCGCCTGTGATGGAACCGTTTGCGTTTCCTGCGAGTATGCAGGAGGGCGGCAGGGCTCAGGTAACGTGTACGGTAACCTCGGGCGACTTGCCTATCCACTTTTTTTGGTATAAAGACGGAGAACCGATTTCCGCCGCATTAGAGGTAAGCGAATAGTTTTTCCATTTTACTTCGAAACAGCTGAGGGGCACCGGCATACTTTTCCCTTCTAGGTGGAGGAAAGGGCGGCCGAATTTTACAGCATGCTGGTCTTCAAAGAGGTCTACTCTAGACATAGCGGTGCGTATACGTGTGTAGCTAGTAACGCTGCCGCAAGGGTAAATTATACGGCTCAGCTGATGGTGAAAGGTATCAAACCGTAGCGTTATCTATTATGCGCATCCCGTATTTATTTATTTATTTCATTTCTAGTGGCGCCTCAGTGGATTATCGAACCGCAAAACGTTTCAGCCCTTTTGGGAAATTCGATACTTATTCAATGTTTGGCGAAAGGTTTTCCGGAACCCACCATATCCTGGCTAAAAGGCCAAGGTAAATTTACTTTTCGCCCCACTCGGACGTATCGGATATGCGGCGAAAATTTTACTTTTCTTTCTTTTCACTTATCTCGATTATCGTATCCACGTAGAACGGAAACTATCTGTATCTTTAACGTTTCCAGGAAAAGGACCAACTGATTACCGGCCGATCAACTTGCATCGGGTCAACCCGATGGCGAACGGTTCGTTATGGTTCGACTCCGTAGTTTCCCAAGCCGAAGGTCATTACTTGTGCAGGGCTACGAACGGCATAGGGTCCGGGCTGGGGAAAGTGATATACGTAGCAGTGAACGGTAATGTATTCAGTCAATTTTATATGTGCATGGTATTATCCCCGGGGCCCGAGTCCTTTTGACTTCACCGTCTTAGCTTGGGTCGTTAAAAGGTACGGTTCGCCATTTTAGTATCCGTCGTTCCTCACTTCGGAAAATTTACGCAGGATGTTTCGAAAAACTTCCTAAGGTTAAGATAAAGATATGCTGTTTTTACTGACTCGTTGGGTCGTTATTGAAAAGAAAATGATTTGTTTATGATTTTCAGAAAGCGCTGCCTTCTGGCAAAGTAAACAACAATCGCAATTGCCTCGCTCATAGCGCAAGTGCTCCTAGTGCGTAGGAGAAGCCCTTTTTAACGACTTCATGTTTATTAAAATGCGTTGAATCCCCTTTCTACATTCCATTTTTAGTTATTTTAATCGCAGAGCTTAGTCCCGAAAGCAGGGTATAATTAAATGCATTTAATTACGCTTCAACCCGTGGATCTGGATTGAACGTTGCTATTCGTAACCAAAACGCTTAGCGTCATTTCTAAACATCTAAATTAGAAAATTGCAAATGAATTGTTTTCAGAGCCGGCTAGATTCGAAGTGCCGAACAAAAACGTATCGGTAAAACGAGGCGCAGAAGTCACTTTATTATGCCACGTTCATGGCGACGTGCCCATCGAAGTGATATGGATCTTCAACAGCAAACCTCTGGATCTTCATAAAATAAGGTAACGACGTATGCATCGCATTCGTTAGTCGTAGTCGTTGCCGTTGCGATTTTTCAGAGGAATATTGAATAATATAACTGAAAATCGGATTTTCAGACAAACCAATCGAATTTCGTTGGTGAAAAAATTTTCGTACGCCGCTAAAATTTTGCACAAACGCCCTTTTGTACTCGTTTTATTCAGCACCGATATTATGCGACGAATTAGTTGCGTTGGAAATAAATTACGGCAAAAATTAAAATTTCCAATTCGATTACATCGTGATAACAAAGCCCCGCGTACGGCCGACCGTCATAATAGGGATATGAAAACAATTTCAATCGAATTTTGCGTGCATTCACAGGGTGTCGTCTTTATAACGACTAGCGCGGAGAACGCTGTCGTTTGACAGTTTAAAGTGAGAGGCTTTATCGACGATTTTTCATCCCGCTAAACGTTTTCCGCCGTCCCTATTTTCGAAAACCAATTACAGATATTCGCACGTCAGTTCGAAAGACGAAAAGGAGGTGAAGTCGCAAGTAACAATCGCCCGCACGGATAGAGAAGACTCCGGAGTCTACAAATGCTTAGCCGAAAACGATTTTGGCAGAAGCGAACACACTATTAATCTTGCCGTACAAGAGAAACCCGACCCTCCTTCTCATTTAGAAGCCGTCGAGGTAAATCTCGTTGCAAATTTTCGATTGAGGTCGCGCGAAAACTCCGCGAGCACTTTTTTTTCGTTACCGTAACCCGAAACGCTGTTGAAACCTTTGTACATTTTTTTTTGTAACAGAAAACAAAGCGAAACGACAATCATCATTAACAGTTTCAAATCAAAGTTGTAGACGAGTTGCGTCTGCCGTTTTTTTTTTCTTTTTTTTCTCATTCGAAACCGCGGATTACTGTTGTTGATAACAGGTGTCGAGCAGATCTGTCAAACTATCATGGCGTAGATCCTTCGATGGAAACAGTCCCATTATAGGCTACATCGCTCAGTACAAAATTCTAGACAGCATCCGCCCCAATTGGGATCAGAGCAACGTCCTAAACTTGACGCTGCCGTCTGGTACGACCTCTGGGTACGTATACCGACGTCATTTTTCCTATAGGCTATTTCAGAAGAGTGCAGAGTAATAACATCTGAAATTAGGTAAACTTTCGTAAATCAGATACTAATAAATAGTCTTTGTAGTCAACCTTCTTAAATTGTTGGGAGAGAGAAAGATAGGAGGTCTTAGAAGTCCCGGCTAACCAATAAGTTTTTGATAAAGACAGCAATTAGAAAAAAATTCACTCGTTTTGTTAGGACCACTTTAAAACTTATGGATTTTACCTGGGAAAAGCGTAACCGAAAAGCAATTTTATTGGAAAGCGATGAAATTGTTTGCTGGCGACGAAAAACGCGCAAAGTATAAAGCAGTACCGAAAATAGTGGAAGAGACATTTTTATTTGATAAGACGTGGATTAGTGAAGGTTACATAGTACCAAAAGTGAAGGGAAGTTATTTATTATTATTATAAAAGCAGTACAAAATGTGAGATCTTAACTATTTGATCGCGTTAATTATAACATAAAAATATTATGATTTTTTATATATTCCCTATTTCACAAAATATATTGGAAGGACGTTATATGTTCTGGCGCTGCAACCAGAATGCTTCTCTACACTGAAGTAAATTTTACAATCAATACTGGCATAGCCTGACTGATGCAAATCTGGTTTTGACTGAATGGCTGATTGTTTATTTACAAATTTGTTTAAGACTTAATAGTCTGATTTTGTTGATACTTGGTACTTTCGCTTCAGTGAATAATATTATTCAAAACACTTTACTGGCTAATTCCTAGCCGTTGAAGAGCCCTATCCGTTGCACCACCCCAAACATATACCATAGGAGAATAAAATGGATACTACCAAATATTTATATATCCTAATAAGGGAACTTTTTGACAAACTTTGTCGTAATATGTAAAAATTATGGAATAACTTGCCAATTTGACGATGAATTGACGTGCTCGTTCCATTTTAGGTTCTCATCAAAAACTACCCCTAAATATTTTAACTTTTTGGTGAAATTTATGCAAACATCGCACTGACAATTCCTGTCATAGCTTCAAAATTAAAATTATGAATTTTTATTCATTGGAAATGAATTGGGTTTTCTCTAAATTAAGTGACAGCGAGCTATAATCTAGCCATTTTTTTAACAGACTTAGTAATTCTTCAGCCTTTGCAAAGGTTTCTTTGCAAGTGTTTTTAACAATAATCAATGCCGCAACATCCGCATAGCAGACAATACCTTCCTTTAGTAAAATAGAAAATATTCCATTCATATATAATGTTGGCCCCAGAACCGTGCCCTGTGGCACACCATGCTCTATCGGAAGAGAGCAGCCCGAGGTGTCACCTAGTTGAACCTTTTGCAGTCTATCTTGTAGGTATGATTTAATCAGTTGATCAGAGTGATTACTGTTGAATAAGGTTCCTTTTTAAATCGTTTTAATCTAATTTATTTCAATGCACCTTTTAACGACTTTACCTACACTGTATACTAGTGAAATTGGCCTGTAATTCGACATTTGGTTAGTTGTCTATATAATGTTTACCCCAGAACCGTGCCCTGCGGCACACCATGCCCTATCGGAAGAGAGCAGCCCGAGGTGTCACCTAGTTGAACCTTTTGCAGTCTATCTTGTAGGTATGATTTAATCAGTTGATCAGAGTGATTACTGTTGAATAAGGTTCCTTTTTAAATCGTTTTAATCTAATTTATTTCAATGCACCTTTTAACGACTTTACCTACACTGTATACTAGTGAAATTGGCCTGTAATTCGACATTTGGTTAGTTGTCTATTTAAATAAAGCGTAATTTTTATTCTGCTAAAACAAAGAGTATCCTACAGCGACGCCTTTGAGATTTTATTACTCTACACATTACTGAAATAGACTTTATTTAAATAGAAATTTTCTCGAAAGATCGACCGAGAACGCGATAATCGGCGCGCTTCAGCCGGCCACGGTTTACACGATAAGAATGCTGGCAGTGAACGGCATCGACCACAGCGATTTTACCGAATCCATTGCGGTCAAGACCCAAGAAGAACGCCCTTCGGAAGCACCGAAAGACATTAGGGTCGAAGCGATCAGTTCGACGGATTTGTTTATCCAGTGGTCGCCACCGCCAAGGCACGGCTGGAACGGGGAACTGCTGGGGTATAGTATATCTTGGCGAGAACACAGGGGTTCGAAAAATCAAACCGGCACCCAGACAATCAAAGGGTGGGCTACGAACAAATTCCAGCTAAGCGGGCTGAAAAAATACACCACTTATGATATCACGGTGAGCGCATTTAACGGTGTCGATGCCGGTCCCGCTTCGCCTACCATTATTGGGACTACCAAGGAAGGCATCCCAGAGGCCCCGCCTCAAGACATTATCTGTTCGGAAGTGTCGTCGCAAATCATCAAAATATCGTGGAAAGTGCCGCCTCACCACCTCCACGGGGGTCTAATACAGGGCTACAAGATTTTCTATCGTCCCGTTTCGGGACTTTTGTCGGAAGACGTCGCTAGCACCACCGGCGAAGTGAAACGTACGCAGAGTACGGAAACGTATCTTCACGGACTTCAAAAATTTACCAATTACTCGATCAGGGTTTTGGCTTATACGAGCGCGGGCGACGGGATCGTCAGTGACACTCTATATTGCTGTACGGAGGAAGATCGTAAGTTGTTAGGGTTAAGATTTTTTTAATTTCGGTACACGGACGAATGATTTATCAACAAACGAACTACGGTCGGTGATTAAAGTTCCAGGGGCGCCCGCCAACATAAAGGCTGCCGCTTTGACGGGCGAATCGATTTTGGTTTCGTGGTTGCCTCCCACGAAGCGAAATGGTCACATTATCGTCTATACAGTTTACTGTCGAGAAGCTGGACGCGTCGGTCAACACAAAAGTTACAACATTCGACTGGAGGATATTCCCGAAGAGCACAGTCTCAATTACGAGGTCAGGATATTGCAGGAGCATCAGCTTTATGAATTTTGGGTGAGAATAAGCATTCGCTTATTGGAACGAACCTGAATTGAAATTTTAAAATGACACCGCTTCTACAGGGTCAGTCGAGAAGATTTGTCAACTGGATAATAAGAAATTGTTTGCGCGAAAGCGATATTATGCCATTAACCATTTTCGAGATTTCGAAATAACAATGAGCGTTTTTCACGATGAGTGCCTATGGTCTAATAAATTATTTCATTTAATAAATTTCTTACTCTCTTTTGTTAAGAACTGCAGCTCTTGAAACATTTTTTGTTACAAAGATGACAATAAAGAAACACAGAATTGCAAATTACAAGTATAGGCTTTCGAAATATTCTTCTTAATTTTTTCTTTAAAAAAACAATATAAGAAACCTTGTCAGGGGTAGAACTTTCATAAAAATCCAGCATTCATATTCTATGCCAGACTAAAAAAATTAAAGAAGCTTCTTTGAAGATATTTGTTGTTGTGGGTTTAAAACTTAATGAGACTTATACTTACCTATACTTAAGAATTTTTTGTTATTGTCAGTTATTACTGTTAGTTATTTACTAATGTACAAAATATCAAAAATTGTTATTGTTGATTGTCCATAGTCATAAAAAATAGATAGTAGATAATTAAGTATACCAAGAAAGTTTTTACGAAATATGTGAAAAACTGCGCGATTTGTAAATAATAAATTTAATTTTTTAAATAAATGATAAACAGCGTAGTAAAAGTTCCAATTTAGATCATTTAGATCTTTTTGACTCACCTTGTAGATCTTTACGTCAAAAATGACATTCGGGAATATTGAAACATCAACCGCCCGCTGATTAATATTCCGTTTTGTCTGTAGCTGGCGCCCTCTGCTCGAATCACCGCGTAATCGCAATTTTCACCCGTTACAGGTTTCTGCGACTACGAAAATCGGAGAAGGTGAAGCGACTTCGATAGTAGCGCAGGCGACGAACTCCCGCGCACCATCTAGGATCGTTTCTTTCAGTCAAATTTTACACCAGCCCAACAAGTCTAGAGTCCTGCTACCGTGTCTGGCCGTGGGCAATCCGAAACCTCGAACGAGATGGATCCACCAAAATAAACCGATCACTTTTAGCACGTTCTTCGCCGTTACTTTGAAAGGAGATTTGAATATACACAGTGAGTGTTTAATGTTTGGAAAAAGTTGCGTCGTAAAAGAAAAATTACTTTTTAAATCTAGGGCGGTATTATTTTTGAAACCGTTTTGTTTTTATTAATAAGTTACCGCCTACGCAACTGAGTGACCTACTAAACCAATTTTTCCGACTTAATTGCATTTAAATTAAATTAATTTGTGGTTTTAATTGCAACAGAGGATGCTAATAATTCATTCGATTTCACAAAACGTAATAGAGTTGCAAGTAATACGGCATAATTAGATTGTTTCAAAACGTACATTTTGTGTTATGGCGTTAAATATTTGACGAACGCCAATGCGTCAAAAGAACATCTTTTGTTCTCTCAATAAAATAAAGCATTCGTCTTGGTTCCCACAGATGTGGACATATCGCTATCTGGGAACTATACATGTTCGGCTATAAATTTATTCGGCGAAGATGAAATCACGTACATGCTGGTGGTTTTGATGCCACCGAATGCACCCCAAGTCGAGGTACAATTCGTGACATCGAACAGCATACGACTAAAATGGACTCAACCCGAGAACGGCGGAGCGATTATTCAAGGTATTTTACATAACGTCGTTTGGAGTTTTCCGCTTTTAACGTAAAACGCGACTTCCTCTTCTAATCGTTTAAAAATTCCGAGTAAAACATTCCGTCAAAAATCGACGCGAAATTTGCAACGCGCATTTGTTAATCGGTCACCCTTTTTTTTTACATCGTCACTTTTACTTTTGTTTGACGTTATTGTTGTCGATGAATGTAAAAGAAAGTCATCAATTTTTATTCACAAAAAGCGATCGTTATTTATTTGATTGCACGGTTGTACAGAATAGTCCCTAAGCGGCCAAAATAAATGGATGGAAATTATTGTTAAATTTCTAAAATGATCCTCAGGGGGCGTAAGCGCTTTCTTGAATTTTAAATACTGTTGTATTATATGTTGGGAGAGAGATATCTTTTTTTGCATAAGAAATGATAGCGTTTCAAAGCGTCCTCTAGCGGCGATAGAAGGAATCGATATCAGTCCGCTCAGGACAGTACTAAGAAGGGTCCTTTTCAAGTTTCTGAAGTTATTGACATTTATTTCCGAAAATAACCGAACAAGTGGAACAAAACAATTCTAAAAAAATAAGCGAACTGATCCCAAGTTTAAAACGGTGCTCAGTTTAGTTATCTGTTATATAAGATTATTTCTCAAAAAACGCGATATGCCCCTGGCGGCCATTCTAGAAACTTATAGCCTTTTCTCTTGTCTTACAATCTTACAAGTTGCAGAAAAAACTGCATCGTGACGAGATCTTCTCTTGTTAAATAAGTTGCTGGTTATGTGGCGATTTCCTAAAAAACGAGCTAAAAACACTTGGCGAGTTGCAATTGACTTACGTATTGAAAACTTTAAACTCTTTGGCTGTTTGCTATAAACTATATTGCAAAGGATTATTTGAATCGACTTCATTCATCCTAGGTTTCTCAAAACGCTGCAAAATGAGTTTTACAAAAAGCGCCTACCCAATTCTATACAAAAACGAAATTAATAGTATCATCGTAAAACGAATGGATTATGTCACGGATTTGAAACTGAGCTTCAAGCAGGATTAGAGAAAGCATTTTTGAAATATCAAATTTTAAAAGCTTTTTTTTGTAATTTATTGTAAAACAAATTTGATTGCCCGAACTATTGGAACAACTTGTGTTGCTCATTTTATTTGCTAAAATTGTATCAACCCACAGAATAGACTGGATATTTTCCTTTCGCTATCATTTTGAGTTATGTACTTTTTGTCCTTTAATATTAATATATTTCCTTCTTCTATAAGGTGCATGTATTTCCCCCATCGCCAAGTGGTTTCGGCTGTTTCATGGGTGTTTTATAGATAACTCGCATAGCAAATTTCCCTGTAACGTTTCAGGTTATATATTGAATATTAAAGACGAATCGCAGGATTGGTCTTCGATGGAACTATCTCCCGAATATTTGCAATACACCGTGGAAAATTTAAGGTGCGGCTCCCTTTATCACATTTACTTGATGGCGCAAAACAAGGTCGGACGAGGCAGTCCCAGCAAGATAATCAGCGTCAGCACCAAGGGTATCGTACCCATATGTTAATCGTCGAATGAAAACGACAATAATTTCAGGCGGCAGCCCTCAACTACCGAAAGAGGACAAAATAATAACCACGAATTATTCAGTGATCACGCTAAATTTAAAAAATTGGCCCAACGGCGGCTGTCCCATATCCCAATTTTCGGTCCAATATAAACCGTACTCGTCGTCGGAATGGTTGCTGATAGCCAACAGCGTGTCTGAGGAGGAAATAACCATTCAAAACTTGGTACCGGCCACTTGGTACCAAGTCAAAATCAGTGCGCAAAACGACGCGGGACTTATATACGGTTTATTCAACACCGCAACGGCCACAGTCGATGGAAGTATGTCCGATTTTGAATCGAATAAAATTCCGCTTCCGCATCGAATCGATTGCTCCGGAACAAATGCGCTTTGGGAAACGTGTTATACTTATGTAAACCCCGATAACGGTTTATTAATTTACGTAAAAATGCAAAAATACCACCCGAAGTTCTTGTTGGTTTCTGTTGTACCGCGTGCCCAATCGATTTCGAATAAATAATTAATTTGCATTAAAATTCGTCCGCGTTTCGTAACTTTCGAATTAAAATCGAATTCTACACTTGAACGTTTCGCCTTCCGCTTTTCGCGTCCAAGAATGTTGACATTTCGCCTCTGAATAATCGATAACATTGTCAAAATTGAAATCTATTTCGGGATTCAAAGGCTTGCGCGTTTGGCATTTTGGCACTGGATTATTGATTTTTAACAAATGTTGTGGTTTTATCTGTCATTTAGGGTGCTTTTTGCCTATTCGCCATAATTACCTCTAAAGCAAGGGGTTTAATGATCTGTGTTGACGAATTTGTCTGAATTTGCCAGAAACATAGACAGTACTGAAGGTTAAAATTCAAATTTGGAGAGTTAGCAATTGGCTTCGCTATAGCTATACAGGTTTATTTAGGTTCGTCTCCCTAGTTACACTCCAGCTTCAATAATAGCTCGCTGCCTCTGATTGGTTAAGCCCAGCAAATCGAAAAGCACTATAGGCCTTCGCATTGGCATAGCACCTATAGTCGTCGTTAGACTTAGATGTCCATGGCCTTTCTTTTGTGTCTTAGCAGGTCTGCTATAAACTTGGCTAATGGACTTATGAGGAATTCCTTGGCCTGCTGTAATAACGCTGGATGCGCCGTTCTAACCACCTTCTAACAAACTGTACGCAACTGACCCGGTCTATGTCTTAGTCTTTCTGTTTTCATCACATTATTAATAATACAGCTTAACACTTTGCCCTGGCGCGTGTACCGTTGCCATTTTTTGATGGCCGACTTTGCAACGGGTGTAGCCATCCCACCAAAGGGTTCTTGTCGGCCTTGGTACCCTGCTACTATTACTATTCTGTGGCTGTGACGTGTAAATTGTGTTCGGTCCACCATGATTTCCTGTACCACATTCAACCTTCCAAGGTATTTGGCAATGTTATCCCTCCATCAGAGTCGGGGACAACCCAGTGATCTCTTACCTATTGGGGCTTCCCCGAAGAAGACCCACTGTAGTCTTCTCGACTTAAATCGGCATTTATGGTAACGCTTCCGTGCAGTTCTTCCAATTCTCTGTTGGTGAGTTTATAGATTTTCCTTCCATACATTACCAGTAGGTTTTACACAAAGACATTTTTGTCGTCTGGTAAGTAAAGAAAAAAGAACACCTGTTCTCTGCTTGTATTCTGCAGTTTATATCTTCTGTATTTTCGGCACTTTCCATCACTGTTGAAGCCAGATATTTAAGTTGTTTGATTATTTCGAAGTTGTATTGATTCCTAGACTTGGTGCCCACTTTATTCTGACTTGCTATTAAATGCTTTATTAGCTTTTATTGCCACGCCTCTGTATCTAGATGGCAATTGTTTATTTACTCTTGCACATTGTTCCGAGAACACTATTACTTGCTTGGCGATTTTGACTCACACAAATACATTGGAGAATTTCAAAATAATTTCAATTTCATTCATATTCCATGTATTACGTATATTCATAGCGATTACCAATTAATACTACAGAATTGTGTGAAATATTAAATGGATGACTTGCCTTTTTGACAGTCACGAAACGAATGATACGTGTTTTTTTTAAAGCGATTTTTTTTCCGTTTTCAAACGCGTAAACTAGCCTTATAGCGGGCAGTTAAATTCGGATCGCTCGGCTCGATGCTGTACTTTCCAAAGCGTTCCACATTTTTCTCCTTCCTGTTGCAACGCGGCACGTAGTCGCCGGGTACTGCAAAACTGGCGCGTATCGTGTAATCATGCCTCGTACAGAGTGTTATGTAATCGCGGACTAGAAACGGACAAGGTCGCTATGTGGAGTAAAAGACTGCCTTGGACCGTCGTCAAATTGGCTCAACACCCGCCTCTTATATTTCTATAAAATCGACGCCCGCGGTGTAATGTATTTTCGGTCTCGTTTTGCAGTTCCGGGTTGCGGTCGAAAAACTAATGAGGAATATAAAGAATAAAGAAAAGCCTCTTCGATATTTGAAGAGCATTATCTTCGTCCGCAAAATGTCAGGGATAATTTAACAGGGAGCAATGCGAATAATACAACATATAACACTTTTATTGAATTTTTAGGTAGGGTACCCAAGCCCCCTAAGCTTCACGACGAGAATGTCACTTCCGACAACAGTATGTTATTTAGAGAATCGTTCTTCTTAATACCCGCGTCGATTTTGGCGTCCTTAATCATTTTCTTACTGATTTTTTGGTTTGCCATTTACAAAAGGAAAAGGTAAGGAAAACGCGTGTCTCCACCTACCTTTCTCCAGCGCTTTAAATCCAATTTCTTGATATATTTACATTGTTGTTACGATATTCGAAATCTGCGTGAAAATCTGGTTTAAATGATGTACAGGATGTCTCACATATACTTTTTTCTCAACCTGTAACACTTGTCAAGAAATGTTAAATCTTAAAAATTAGTCGAAAACGCATTTTTTGCTCGTTCTCTTTATAGAAACACAAATTAAATTCAATTATCTAAGATAGAAAAATACAACAATATCGTAAACTTAAACAAATACTTTAAAGAATAGCATTTTATAATTTGCTTCGGATTACATCTCCTGCAGCACCAGTTTGCTTTAGATAACTAATTTCCTCTCGAATAAAAAATGATAACCAATATAATTCTAGACTAGAAAATCGCGAGAATTAATTAAATTTTTCTTAATATGTTCAAAATTATACTAGTTAGCTTAATATCTATTTTGTGGGCTTTTCTTATTAGGTGGATTTTTCAATAACAACTCACATAACTTTATTTCCTATATTTTATTTCTATATTTCCTAAAAATAGGACTGTCTGATGAAAGTTACCTTTGTTTTTTTTTAAACACCAAAGTCGATACCGGAGAATTCGGGCACCCTGTAGAATCCAAACGTGAATAATCTAAATTTTACTTTTGCTTGTTTGTGAAAAGTATATGGGTCACCTTGCGTGAGACACACATGTTTCCAAATGGCAAACTTTAATTGGCTACTGGGCGTTCCGTTTTGTCATAAAAAAGATAATTTGATACCGAATAATTTTTAATAAAAATTAGAGATTGAGGTTTGAGAGAAACTGGAAAAAAACGTAATTTACTCGACGAAGAGCACCTATGCTAATCCTAGCACTAGCCCACAAAGAAACTAAAACCAAGCACTTTTGTAAGTAAAATATATCAAATAGAGGATCCCTCCAGGAGTGTCCTGCGCTTTATTGCTATTGATGCGTTTTTAATATTTTTCTCTTTATCTTACGTTTTTAATATATTTTTCGCTATTTTGCATTTTTTAAACTTTTATTTATGTTTTTTCCCTGTTTATTTTTTTAGGCGAATCAAAAAACAACTCGAAAGGTGTTGTAACCTGAGCTCACTGCCCCTCTTCTTTATATTTTCAATCGTAACCTCTCTTTAAGTTCTCGGTTGCTTCTCTCATAGCATAATCTTAGTTTCCTCTATTTGACTTCTTTAAATACAGAGTAGTAGTTCACAGTACTTTTCTCTGTCCTACGGTATATTATTATCACAATAATTCTAAGTTGAAGTTCGAGGTTGTCTCAATAAGAAGTTGCTGTAGTCGACCATTGTGCTGACGCACAAAATACAGTTTCAACAAAAAACCAAGTTTTAAATTATAGCAAAATAGGCTAGATTTACAGACAACTTCATTTTAACGAGACTTTCATGTATTATTCAGCAAAAAAATATGTCAATAAGATTATATCAAAAAAAATCAAATCGGCATATTTAAAGTTGTAGAAAAAAGTAGGGGGGTGCAGATTTTGGAATTTCGCGAGAAAGATCGTGCAAGTTTGATAAGAAAAAAAAATGCGTTGGCCACATCACTTCCCGGTTGCCTTGAACAACCTTCTCGTTAAAAACTTGAACTCTTTACGTAGCAACCGGGCCAGTCGAGGATTTTGCACTAAATGTCAATGAAGGTTCGCCGCGGGTCCCCAATAAATGATGTTATTTATAATCGAATTGACTGAAATTTTGTTAAATTCCGAAATAAATCCCTATCCTGGTCGAACGTTTGTAGGCAACACGACGAAAATCAAATAAATCGCAACGAGGAAGTAGCTGAAGACGCGCAGAACACGCATCGTCACCATAGACGCCACCCCCGGCAGAGGGAGGAAAAATTGGCGGAAAGGCAAAATAACAGTAACACGCAACAGGTTTACACTTCATCCCCCGTCAAAGCGGGGGAGAAAGTAACCGAAGAGATCTCTGGTAAGATAATTTCATTATCTCGTTAAAATGCCGTTACTGTAGATTACATAAGTGTGGGAATTGCAGTAACGTACGAGTCGCATGATATTTTATTATCTTTTACGGCCAGTTTAAAAATGATTGTAATATCGCAAAACTTTTATTATTCAAATATCAAATCGACTTGCGGTTTTTAATTTCGAGGTCGTTCGATTATTTATTTTTTGTCGAGGACAGAGGAAAACCGGAATTTTGAAAACCAAAAAAAAATTACACAAAATTAAGTATATCGGGGAGTAACAATTCAATAATTATACGATGTTTTAAGTTTACTTACTAAAAGTAATTGTTTTTTCTTGGCGCTCCTTATTTATGAGATTAGTTGTGCTCTTGCTTATCTTATTTTTTCGATATTTTTTCTTTTTTTTTTTCTTGTTTTTACGTACTAATTTATTAATGGCGGGGTTTATCATGTTTCTGTCCCAAAGAGCAAATAAACACATTCATAAATAAATAAATGTATGGTTTTAAATAATTCCCAAGTTTGATTTTTAAGGAACCTATGAAATAACACCGTATGCGACATTTGTAGTGCCAGCGTCTAATAACAGCGATTCTATTGATAATCTAACTCTAGATTACACCTTACAATTTAAAACGTTCGGCCATATCGAAGACGGAGAACATAGCAACATTATATTGTCGAAAAACGCTTCGAACAAAAGCGCCTGGCACAAGAACCATTTCTACCACAACGACGGTAAGGGTTTCCGCGTTTCCCCGTCTCTAGACCCGGACTATCATTCAGTGTCGGTAACAATTTACAGCGTCGTTACATCCACAAACTACCCAATTTTTATACCGGCCCCAAACGCAGAACCGAGGTGATTCGGAATCGGAAGATACCAGCGGTAGCGGCAGATGCTCGAATATATCGCCCAACTCGGCATCCACCAGTTATAGGACGGAACGGCAACCCAGAAAAATCGGTTACACAGGTTACGAAACGTTACTAGTGACAGATTTATATCGACGAGATTCTAGCACGGAATCTAACGAGGTGTCACCATTGGCGGAAAGGAAACAAACGCCCAGGCACGTGGCAGGCCGAAGACACTACAGGACGGCTAGTAGCAGCAGGTAGCCAAGGTACCTTAATTTATATATTTGGTTTCTTAATACCAGAGAGTAATAAAATGTTAATTACCGTAACGTTCAGATAAATTCCGTATTTCAGTTTTTAAGACTTACACACCTAGAATCGTTCTGAAATTAGGGTACAACAGAAAGACGAGTTTAGTGAATGAAAGTGAGGTGGGAAAGTAATTGGGATATTGATTATTGTAAGATCAAGTAAATAAGAACTTATATAGACGATAAGAAAATAGAAAAAGTGTAACAAGCACTATTTAAAAAAAATCTAATCGCAATACAATTTCATTTGTAAATTTGAATTATCATATTCCGAGAAGTGAGCCGTTGGAGTCCCGATAAATAATAAGGGCCTCTACAGTTTTTACGAGCATATTATGAAATTCCCACATTCTTTCTTCTATTTTAATTACATGTTGAACGAATTTACTCCATTTTCCACAATCTACTGTCTTCGTTCTCTCTTGCACGAGATTTAAGTTCCAAAGTAAGCCAATGAATGGTGGCATTTTCTTTCCAAGAAGACGTGGTTATTTTTTTTTTTTAATTTTCTTCGGTGGTAACTGGGATTATCCATAACTATAACAACCGCAGGAGGAAAAAGATCTAGCATATGCTGGAAGTACTCTTCAAAAGCATCAGCATAATAAATAAATTTTTGCTACCCGTGTGGGTAATTATTAATCTTTTACCTTATCCCAAGGATGCTTTTATTGTAGTGAAAACTTGCCTCGCGCTTTTTAAATGGTTATCCTACCACTTTTATCTTTCATTTATCCATATTCCTGTATTCTCTTGGAAACTGTCTAAGTGTTTCTCTATTAACAGTGATTTCCTGTTTTGAATTTGTTCGTAACGAAAATTCATTTTCTTCAAAGCTTTTCACAATTTCTTCTCATCCATGGGTGGAATGAAATCCTCTTTTTTCATTGCAGATATAATTTTCTCCAAGGTAGGTACAGTGAATGCTCCATATAAGTAACTCATTTGAATCAATTTCAATAAAAAAATATTTCTTATTAGGAGAAGTTGCTAGGAAAAAGAGGAAATTAAAAATACTTACCGTCTAAAAAATATTTTTAACTTATTTTTACAAACTAAACTGTGTGGAATAAAAAAATTCAGCTTTATTTTGCGAGAGAAACCATTTTATTATTATTATGATATAGGCGTAGTTATTAATTATATTAAAAAAAATTAAACAATCAACTTTTAATAAATCTTTGGTTTAGTGCTGCACGAATTTCCAAAACAAACAAAAACAATTTCATGATTGCTTTTTCTCTTATTATTTGTAACAAAAGAACCTCATTGCAGGGTAAGTCATTTTCTTTTGCCCATTCTATCACCAAATTCTTCAAACATCATTGATCTACTAAATTACAATAATTAAATATCGAATTCTACAATCTTGCCAACGGAATATCATCTTCTTCTGAAAAGTGATCACAAGGAATGTTGTATTGAATTTCATCACTTGACGAAAGAACATGTTTAAATGAATTTTGTATAACTGACACGGAAATTCCATTCCATGCCAGCACCACTAAATAAATAATATTTTTCAAATTTTTTTTTTCAGTGCTGAAACTGTGCCATCTTTTGTAGATGTTGTTTTAGTGATTTTATCACATTTTGATCTAGTGGTTCTAATTATCCATAAATTTGAAGCAACGAGGAGATTTCGATTTCCCTATCATGGTGCATGGCGCAATTGTTACTCTTTCTTTCATTGCTTTTCTTCCTAAAGTTAACTCATATATTTAGCTTTAAAAAAATAAGTTGCTTATACTGAACAGTTGAATTAAAAAAAGTTGCTGGCATAAATGTTGCTTATAAAGAATGTTGCTTATATAGAGCGTTCACTGTATTTCCTTTTTAAATGTAAAATGAATGTATTATTCTTCTGATTTTAGTCTTTTCGTCCTCATTTGTTCTTTTTCTTCCTGTATTTCTCTCCGCGTTTATTTTCGGACACCAGTCAGTATATTGTTTACTGTCCCACGCCAGTCATATTCGAACACATTGAGGAAAATAATTTTTGGAAAACGCAGTTTTACTAATCCGTTTCTCGGCAACAAATTCACACAACACAAGAACCAACTTTGCCAATAAATGCCGGAAAGCAACTATAATTCTAATTTCAAACTCTAAGTCAACCACCTGTCACTCTCGGGACCCTTGACAATAATCATAGATTCAATGCTACGTCTATGGAATACGGTGAAATTTTACATTTCAATATGATCTATAACTCTCTCGCATTAAGAAACAGATGATAGGTATATACAATTTTGCGTTTTTCAAACTTATTTCTAAACGGTCATTTTTATCGACGCGGTTTTAATATCGGTGGCCGATTTACGAGACAGTCTACGCCATGTATCGATAGGAACTTTAAACGGCTCGGCGACCGGTGAAAGGATTGGAAATGTGTTGTATATTAGTATAACGCGTCAGGTCCGGACTGGCGTCCGCCCCAATCGCGTTTCTCTCTCTTAGTCAATATCGTCATCGGAATATGTCACGCGACACCCCTGGCCTCGATAAAGGCGCGCCCTTTGAAATATCAGAAAAAAATCGATAAGAAATGCGCGTCAATGTGTAATTAAAAGCGGGAAACTGTATCGATCCAAGTACCCAAGATGGAAAAAAATTATCAAACCATTCCGATGTGGCTTAGAAAAATCATCGTCTGAATGTCATAAATCAATGCGACGTTATTGCCTCCGTACCGATGCCCGCGAGGGGGTATTAAATTATCCGCGTTATCAAGATATCTTGAAACAAATCCATAAAGGAGTTTGCGTAATAAAATAAGAGAACCTGGTCCCGTAAAATAGCCACGTCCATAGAATGCTGCCCAAGTTCAATTATCTGCCGCCTACAATGACAGCCGCAATGTTCGCCGATCATTTACCTATATGTACAGGGTGGGTCACCTTCTTATTAATCTGCCGTCTCTGATCGTCCAATATGATTTTGGAAACTGCTGCTCTAAGAATACCAATTGATGAGCACGCAAACTTAGGTCTTTGAGCCATGAATTGTGTCTTGTGTATTTCATACTTTCCACGTTGTATTATATGACCTACAGCACATCAATTCTTTTGTTTTATGCATGCCCCATGATTGGATAAAGTGTCCAACTTTCGCAATAATAAAGTAAAATGGAAAGTATATAACCCCTTATCAGTTTTATACCAAGTCCATGAGATCCGACCTTATAAAAACTGGTTTCATACTATTAAATTTTCGTTCTTCGGTCATTTTGTTCGTTAATAATGACATCTGATTATTTAAACGAACCTGCTCACAACTTTAACTGCAAGCAGCAATTTTGTTGGACCAAAACTGATGTTGGTATCTGAGGCCCAATTTTCATTAAACCCGTAATGGATATCAGGGGTACGGGGTGAAAATATATATAAAAAATACTAATTAGTTGGGTAAGGCTTATCTGAGAGCTTTTCTATTAAATTTCAGTTCGGAAGAGGACACCCCACAAAATATGAAAATCCAACCGCCGATTAGATTTTCCGACAGCAAAGAACTCAGCGAGGCCGAATGCGACAGAGATTTAAAACTTGCCGAACTATTCAACTCTGAGCTCGCTGACATAGTAGTTAGGTACTGTATCTTATCTTATCCGTTTTTGTTGTTTTTCCAGTACGCGACGACAAAGAAAAAGCGTAAACGATTAAAGAAGCGGTAAAATTTGGTCGATTCTCCTTTGTATATACTCCACCTTTAATCTGCATATAATGGTACGATTTCAATACCGACTTTTTGATTTTCTAACAGATACCAGCAGCGCAAAGAACAAGAACGGAAAGAATTCACCATTCACGTTTAAAGGAAAACAAAGAGAAACCAGCGGATGTATCGATCACATCTTCCCTCAAATTTATTACGTTCTTCGTTTCCCTTACACATATTTCCGGGGCCCTTCATATTCCAATGGTGCGCTGAATCGACCTAGATATGACGTACCTACTTTGCAACGATCTTCTGTGTGCTAATTTGGTAGGCAGCACAGAGAACTTTGTCCGCGTATCATCCAATGCGCTTTAAACGTTTCTTCAATATTGGATGTGCCGAATTATTGTCTCCCCACCCTCTAAAGTCGGATATTTACGATCGCCTTCGATATTTAATGTATATGTAAATAAAAAATTGTGTAATTTACCTTCTAGAGCGTTTTATTTGTCGACACCCACACGGTACATGTTTTCGCTAGTATGTATGGATAAGGGCGGTCTTGGTTTATTGCATAGTTGACCCAACTTAAACATAGCCATTATCATCTCATTCTGGGTATGTTTTTAATACACCTGGTAAACCCAATAATTTTATATGTTTAAAATTTCCTACTACTCGATTTTATCGTCGCCGCTCGCGCCAGAAAAATGTTACGCCCACCGACACGACTGTGGTCTAGGGTACAACACAATCCTTGATCTTAGTAAAAAATCCTTCTCCTCCCAAGCGCCGTTTTTATCAAAAACCTTGCTTACAACATCGTCCAACAATTATAAATTACTTTGTGTCCGGTTTTTCAAAATAAATCATGAATATGCCACTATGGGTGATTGTGATCGCGATTTCGAGGGATACTGCACGCTTGCCAACGTTGCCGCCCCCCTAAAATCTCTTTAACTATTAGGAATTACTTAATTACCCAAATCGAAATAGAAACTAGTGTTAAATCAAGAACTATTCTAAAGAGCTCTAAGGGGCACTATCGGTTATTCCATTTTTAACGATCGAGCTCCATTTTCAATCGGCGAAACGTGGCAACGCTGTAACACGCGGCTGACAACGAGATACGGGCGACTTATACTTTTCCTTCCTATCGGGCCTTACCTAATGTTACCCCGCAACACGAAGAAATATTTTTTCAAAAAAAATGAACCCTCGCTAAGTAAAAATAGCGAATTAATTGCCTTCGTTTTTCATTAAAAAGGAAACCGAGAAATTTCGCAATTTCTCGTGTTGCGCATAAGCCGAGACCTCGATGGTAGCATCTTGATATAAAATTTTCTCAAACACCGCAACGTTAGATAATCGACCGTGTCCTTTTTTTGAATTAAAAAGGAAACGGATCTTGGGAGTTGTAAGGCCAATTAGCCTTGAAAATTAACAATACCTACGAGTGTAAGCGAGGTATAAACATGAACATGAAATGTGGGCGATTCCTATATGTACGAGTGTTAATCCGGTTCCGTTGAAAGGACTAAATAAATTTTCCATCACCATTCTCATAATTGTACGAAATATTGTAAAATACAAATAACTTTCGCTTAAACGAAAACCGCAACAACAACGTCAAAATGATGTAAAAAGTCTTCTATTGTCCGCGCATTAAAAATAAATGAATTTACTACGGTTCGCTGAGTTAAATTGTTTCGCTTATATCGACGGTATTCGCGAAATATCTGGAATAGGTCAACCTCATTTTGTATATTATTGCTAAATATATTCACGTTTCGCCTTCGGCGGTATGCTGAGATTCAAATCGCAGGTTAAATTCGCAACGTTTAAATAAATAACTCAACCAGATCGAAAATTAAATCGATCCGTTTCGCACAATCTCAAATCGATACAATACAAAATGCATAATCTTTTTATTTTTTTATTTCGTTACTTATTGTCGCGTCAGGTAATTCCGGTAGAAGATTTAAAGCCAAATTTGACTGTCGACGATACGAAATAACAAGGCGAAGGAGGTAGACCACGAAGTGAATGCTTCTGTCATGTTAACTCCGACGCCGCTGTACAATTTCCAAGTGGGGGTTCACTCGGGTTTTCATGCACGTTCCCCACTTTATCAATTTCACTTAAAGATTAAAGTACCACTTTTATTCCTTTGGCAACCCAGTCAGTGCATAACCGCGTTCTGTGCTGTCACATTTGGGGAGAATTTTTCGTATTCTACATGGGTGAAGTGTATTAGCTCCTGCGTGTGATCAGTGTTCCTGGGATAATTTCGGTGGATAGTGGAGAGAAAAAAATCGACGAAAAACATGGTGCCGTACGTTGTTATGGCCGTCCTGTTTGCGGTTGCTGCGCAGCTGGGTAAGTCCGCGATCATCGACCCTCTATCTAGGACGACGGAGACGCCTGAAGACGCCTAAACCCTTTGTAACCGTTAAGATGTATGTGTAAGAGGATTTATAGCTGTGCACGCATACATTTGTCAGTGCCATGCTATTGTAATATTCGTAAAACCATTAAAACTATCGGGGTCAGACATGAAAATAACAAACTTCAGTTGAAATCTGTACAAAAGCAGTTCTTTAACTGAGAATGTCAGACTCATTGAATTATGTAACTAAATTATGCTCATATTTGGTTTATGAGAGTTGATTGTACCCCGCCATACGTTAAGTTTCTGAATTGAATGATTATTATGATATACATTGGAAATGTCAAATAAACGACCTTTTACAAACATATATTTGTCGTATTTAATCAACACCGAATATCAAATTTTTGTTTTTATCTTTGACCATTTTTTTTTTCAAAATTTTCAAAAAGTGACATCGGGTTGAAAAATTATACAATTTAACGCAGAAATCCATTTGTAAATATCATTTAAAATCATCAATTGTCCATAATTTTTGACTGTCCTGTTTATTTTCGTCTTAGTCTTCAACTAGTGTTATTAGTTCAATGTTAATGCCCATAAAATTATTTACTAATTCAAATCTCTCCTGTAATATTATTTTTGGCACTTGATGGTGAAACGTTTTATTCGAAATTAATTTTTCTGGCACATCGTAATTCCCTGTTTCGAATAAGCGCGCTCTCAAGGTTTTCATCTCTCGTCTAATCGCTTTGACGCAATAATGAGACCTTTAAACTCTCGAAGCGTCAATTCCGAACGAAAACCTGAAAAAAAAAATCACACGACATTACGCCATTCCATACACAAATAAGGCATAGAAACTTAACTGAATTAATCACTCGTCGCTCTCCTTATCCGTCCAAGCTTTTCCGCTGTCCATATTTAAAACGGCTTGTAAAAATAAATAAAATATACTGTTTTCGGTCAAATTCGAATATGTCAGTCGGAGGTACGTGTAAAGTCAGGTCCGAGAATTGCAAAACACGAAAATAATTGGACCATTGATAGAAGGCTAGACCATAAGGTGAGAGGAGTGTGGGGGTGCTCAGCGACGCATTAAATTTCGCAACATAGAAAATTTAATACCCACTACTGTCGTTCGTTGAAAAGAATCTGGTATCTCGGTTGCCTCATTTGGGATTAAAATTGAGCCGAATATTATAGGCCCCTACATGATATCCATTAATATAATTACACAGCGATTGGTTTCGCTCCCCTTTAAATTAACCGAATGCTAACTATATACAGGGCGTTTCCTAATCTCTCTGACAAAAGGATTTTTTTTTTTTGAGTATCACTTCGACGGGCTGGTGAAAAAATAAAATTTGCGTGGGTTTTCTTCTCATTATTAATTAGCGTTAAGCGATATTCTAGTGATATTTGGTTTAGCTAATAAGTAGTACTTTATTTTGGGCCCATTTTAAGATCCTGGGAGCTTCTTACAATTACTGCTGTACTTACCTTCGTAAAAACCGACAAGAGCGATTAAAACGATTTCCTACTATCGTAATTTTTACATTAAATAAATTATAAAAATATTCAAAAATTTAAAATGTATATGGCACCAAATGTCACTGGAATATCGTTTACTATTAATTAATTATAAATATAAATCACATTCCGAGAAATTTATATCACATTTTCGTCTTGAAATTAAGTGAGAATATTCTCCTCCTTATTTTTGTCAGAGAGGTTAGGTAATACCCTGTATAATAAACAGGAGTTGGCCCATTGCAATATTTACGGTGCTGTTGCGTCTATCAGCATAAGGAAGCGGACAAAAACGAAACAAACGAGTTAAAATGGTTCGCTTTCACTGTATACGCTTTGCGGTCGGATATTATACGCGTTGCCAATATAAATAGGCGTATAAGCATGTCAATTATTAATAGCGCCCTGAAATAGTGAAACAATTCATTTCTACTGATACTATTAATAAAATTCAAATCGCTGAAAAAGGTGAGGAACCAAAGAATTCTTTTAATGTCGACATCCGGTTTTAGCGCCGTCAGGAAATCTAAGACACATCCCGTATCTATTAAGATATAATTTGTACGGTCTACTTTCCTTTTTAATAATGTCGTTCTCAATTACAGATCATCATCACAGTCTATTAGACTGATGGATCTGCTCGTCCTTACCGATTTCACAAGGAATTGGGAACAAATTGTTACCGGTCATGATGGTTTAGTTTGTAATAGAGTTCTGTTAGGCACTCAACATCTGTCGTACGATCACGAAAGTTATCGATGCAGGTCGAAAATCGGGATCGTAATGAAAGCAAGAGCAATTAAAGCCGTTTAGGTATCCCTCGCAACAAACCGTAATATAGAAAGCAAGGCCACGGTCTAGAAACTGTTGATTAATTCTTTTTGCCATAATATGTCAAGGACTTCACTATTGTGTGCCAGATACTAAACGGTTTTTACATCGGTTTTATGCTTAATTAGAACGAAATCAATCATACCATACATACACCATAGCCGAGCGAAATAAATAAAATCGGGCGATAGTTTTACTCTTAAAATGTTATTTTTGGTCGATTTGATGTAAAACGGGGTTATTTTTTATTGGTGCAGCGTCGAAGGTTCCAGCGTCCAGTTTCATAAAATGCCAGGGTCGAATACGACGAAAAAAAGAGTCACCTGAAAGAGGGAAACCCATCCGGTTCATTAACGTACCAATGCCAAATTTCGTAATGAACTCGACCTGTACATATCGACGGTGAAGTTATAATAATTTTAACAATTTGAAATATTCGGAAAAAGTCGGAAGATATTCGAATAAACGTGAAAATATTGAAACTATAAACGAGGCAGCGACAGTAAACACTTTCTCACTTTCATTTATTTAAAAATGTTTGTGCGGTCGTAAAATAGTGGACCGCCGCAGACCTCGCGAGTATAAAATTTTCGAGAATTTGGTTCAAGGAACTGCCATCACAGTTCACTTCACTTTTGTTCTGCTACCACCACGCGCGCTTTCGTTGTTTTTTGTTACTGTTACCGTTAAGATCATTGGCGTGTCGAATAAAATCGAAGTCGAATAAACGTTCCAAGTTTCGATCGAAACTATAGCCAATTAAAACCCGATTAATAGTCTTTAAACGACGCCGATGTTCATCTGCGTTATACAATACCGCTTCGAGCTTTTTTGATTTTTGATCTCATTCCCTCCAACGTGGCCTCAATTACTGAGAATTTTCTACAAGGTTGACAGCGTGAACGAAAATCGGATCATAATTTCGTTATTAGTAAAAATAATTTTTGCATTTACAGAAAACGACGTTAAACATTATGTAACTTAGGTATGCATACATATACGTAAAAATTTAAAGGTCAAATGACGTATCATCATCTCCAGTACAAGACGATGTTATTCATGTTTGGTCGTTGATTAAAACCGTACACTTATGAAAGTGGCGAATCATTTTATTACTTAACATCTAAAGGTCGAGAATTTCGTATTTCTCGCGTTTTATCCCAGACAGGTGACAACGGACATTAAACGAACAGCACTTTAGAAATAAATTGGCGATTAATATCCCCAAGGCTGCAGCCACTCCTATGATTGCTGATATTTGACAAATATACACCGCGTATCTCGTGCGTGCATGAGAAAAATCGAATGCAATGAAATGAATACAATAATTTATGGCCTTGAAATTGGACGGTCAGTGGCTTGTAACGAAAGGCTTTTACATTGCCCCGAACTGCGTGTTTTCTATTGTCTCAACAACTGGACCGCTTAACCGTTGTATAGCGCACGATTGTAGTCTCCAAATTATGTTACGCAATCAAACAATCACGGCAGTGAAAATTGCATACTGCGGTGTCCTTCGAAAGCTTAAATTGAAAGTATTACGAGGCAATGACCCAACTTGCGTCCTGATTTACCTATTTCGCCGCATGCACGCGTAGGTTACCCAATTATTTTGCGTAATGACTATTTTTCTATAGTTCTCTACAGATGACATAATATAACTCTGCGTTCTATAGGAGGTATATAGGTTACCGTAACACATTAAAATTCCATGCAAATCGCGCAATACACCTCGTCCGAGACTAAAGGTGGCTTTAAAAAAAGCGAAAGTCGTTGCAGTGAAAGTGATAGATTCGTGTTTAGTTGGATAAATCAATTATTTAAAATTGCCACCCGCACGCAAACACACGCACAGAGATACACCATTTATTAACCATATAGGAGCTCCTATGTTAAACACAATAGATTGAATACCATCGTGTGCGAGAACCACGGAAATGGCCGTCGATAGGACATATATCTATCAAAGGTTTCCATTAATTATAATGAATAACCGTTATTTAGTTTTGCAACGTTTTCCATATATCGCGTTATATAACGCAAAATGGTGGTAACCGACAGTCGAATACCCAACCATTGTTGTTATTAAACTTTTCACACAGCCTAGTGGAAATTGTTGTGAAATAAAGTGCATCACTAAGAAAAATGAAATCTACATAAATGACTTAAGAATATATCGTAAATGGAGTTTTCAAATATGGAAACAGAAATGCGGCTAGAAGTGTTCCCTTTAATTTCCACTTAAATCTAAAACATTTCCTGTGTACGTACTATTCGCAAAACATGAATGGATTTTGTCAAAAATAACAAAATTCTCTGAGTTTCATCCATAAATAAAAAATTGAAAGATATTACCGAAATATTAATCGAAGGCCCGAAATCATAAGCAGAGCTTAAAAGGAAATCTTAAATTCCAGAAAATTCCAGAGACTGTCTAACCTTGCAAAAACAAATATTTCACCAGAAGCCCATTAACTATAAGAAAGTTATACAATTCCGCAAATTAAATTTAGAAATTTTAAAAATTGTTGCCATTTTTTCCTAATGGTTTCCACATACCTCGCGATAAGTGGTTTCGCTGATTTTACGGAATTTTCATTGTCAACTTGTCGCCATTAGCATTTAATTAAGTCCAGAACATATTAGTGCAAAGTGCGTTGGGCACTTCCATTATTCAGACTCGTGAATTCGCGGAAAAGGGTTTTTTAATGCCAAAAAAATAACGCTTTATACGTAAGCCACGCATTTCTGAAACACGTGAAACAAGCCTTTCCCATTCTCTGGACTCTGTAGAATTAAATTCCATATTTATGTTTATGAATAGTGACTGCTTTTAACAAGGCAATTAAATAAACATGTGTGACTTTAAGGTTCTATTAGATATTTGAACATAGCTATAGTGCATTTTTAACTATACTTTTATTTAGGTTAATTATATCGTAATTACTATGGGTAACAATTAAATACTGAAATGAACAATTTGTAACAAGAGTTCCCATAAAAATGATAAGAGATTTCATAAAGCTTACAGAAGTGTCGGCATTAATTGCAGTAGGAAAAAATGTCGACATTTAAGAATTTTACGTGAGAATTGGTTTTGTAATACGTAACCAAAATTGGCGGTTATTTAACAGCATGTCCAAACAGGCAGTTAAATTATTATTGAAAATTTTAGAAAAAATATATTTGTTGGCGATGGAGCGGAAGTATCGTGCGCACAAAGTAGAAAACGTTCGGATTGTATTAAGTAATCCACGAGGCGTGGCATATCACGAAAATCCTTGGCTCATACAAATTTTTGAGCCAATAGATGAGAAAGTACATATTCCGAGCGACCTATTCGAACTCTTAGCAAATGTTAGATATAACCGTATACCCACCAGTAAGAAAAAGGGATTGTGATCGGAGCTAAGGTTTTTCCCGATAAAAATAACATTAGATTTTTTTAATAGCAAAAACGATATGAAATGTGTATACGGATATGCTTGGCGAATGGAAGGCCGTCGGAGAACCACACCTAATCAAGCGACCTTGATCACAACATGCAAAAATATTGTGTTTATTTGCAGGCTCAAAAATATTTTTTCCGGTTTTTGAAATGCCAGGGGGACTCTGCTAGAAGTTTAGAACTAGAAAATCTCGATGTTTGGGAGTACCGGCTCCGATTTCATAACGAAGGCTATCTAAAATTATTCAAACTATTTGCACAAGATAATTTCTGTTTTATGCAAGAGTTGTTATTATTTTTCTTGCTAATGATATATTTTGTCAGCAGCAATTTAACAACAATAAACGGCCACGGTATTATATAAAACGAACGTGTAATGTCAATTTAATATAAAATATCGGTTAACACATTTCCTAAGCAGGACCGGACCGACAACTTTCAGTTATACCCATTTATAGTATGGAATATGAGACATTGTACTTTTTGGCGTGTCTTTCTCAATTGGCACACTATTCCCAAGAAAATCGAACTTCGGGGTCACATTCTGAAAGTGGACGGCAATGAAATAAACATTCTTAAATTTCTCTCAAGTACGCCCGTTATTAATTACTTGATTAAATACCAAACGAGAAAAATTAAATAAAACTGAACATGAGATGTAAATGGAAATATCCGTTAATTAAATATATTTTAACCATATGTTTTTTTAGACACTCGCTCCGCTCGTGACTAAACTGTTGAATATAATGTTTTTATATATAATTAATTTGTTTTGGTAAAAGAAAATTAAAATTGAAATAAAATTTTTTTGGTACTAATGAAGTTTTAAATACATATTTTTGAGTTTATTATTATTATATATTATTAATTTATATTTAATTATATTTAAAAAAATAAATAAAATGAAATGTGGCAAATATTATTTTGTATTAAAAATGTAAGTAAAAAGATTTCTTTATTCGTAAGATGTTTGGTATGTTTTTTTAGACACTCGCTCCGCTGCGCTCCGCTCGTGACTAAACTGTTGAATACAATGTTTTTATATATAATTAATTTGTTTTGGTAAAAGAAAATTAAAATTAAAATAAAAATTTTTTGGTAATAATGAAGTTTTAAATACATATTTTTGAGTTTATTATTATTATATATTATAAATTTATATCTAATTATATTTAAAAAAATAAATAAAATGAAATGTGGCAAAAATTATTTTGTATTAAAAATGTAAGAAAAAAGATTTCCTTAGTCGTAAGATGTTTAGCATTTGCTGATAACGAACGAAATTTTTGCATCTAAATCTGAAATAATTGTAAATTTTAATTTTGATAATCCAGACCACACGAAAGAAAAAAACTAAAATCATCGGGCATCCACCATTGCGTGAACAAAATTGACCTTTTCTAGAATTTGAAATGTTTTGCATTAATTATAAATAAACTCTGATGAAATTAGTTATTTAAATAACTGCAATCGAAATCTGAAATTTTTCTCATTCTTTTCGTTACTTAGACACAAATTACATCGAAAATTTATTAAGGACAGTCCTCGTGAAATAATTTTGCCACCACAATGTGTAAAAAACGTTTTCGATAATTAAAAGTGTATAAATATAACCGAGAAATCGAATTTTCTAAATCCACCGCAATGATGGTGTTAAATTTGTTTTGGATTCGTTATGGCGGTTAACTTGGTTTTGGAGTTTTCGTCTGAAAGGGTCTCCATTCTAGCCAAATAAAAACTCCACCGAAAATGTTTTTTATCTCATTATTCTGCACCGAATGTAATTGATTACAGAAATTTCAGTCTCACCTAATTTTCGTAACGTAACGAATACGAGAGAAATTCCCACGATACGGTTACGTGGCGCATCCTTTGATTAATTAGTTTAATTAGGTCGAATTTAATGTTGGAAATGTTATGTCGAGGTCGAATTTTGACGTTTACCGTTTCAGTACGGGACGATAAGATCGCAAGTAAGCGGGACGCGACGTTGGGCAATATAATTCCAAACCATTAAACTGAAAAAAAAAACTGAGCTGTAATCGCTCTCATTATATTTTAATTTCCATCGATTAATTGACTCCTTTTGTTTTTTCGTCCGCCTTTCGTTGCCAAACCAAAACGCAATTCATTCTGATTCGGCGCCGAAAAGTGTGTCAGTTGCAATTCTCATTAAACACTTGTGAAAATATAAATCATTATTGCATCGACTTGTTTTCACTTTCAGATTCGACGGAAGGTCAAAGGAAAATCCCTAAAGCAAGCGCCGCCATTTCGGAACCCCCCAAAGAACGGGTGAACTTTGACTGTCCCGAAGAATTTGGGTATTACCCTCACCCTAGCGACTGTACTCAATATTACGTCTGCGTGTTTGGAGGAGCCTTGTTGGAGTCGTGTACCGGAGGTTTGATGTACAGGTAAGTACGGTTAATTCTTTCAAAAACGTTTGTTCATAATTGTCTTTCCTTTATTGCCATGCAAAAATGAATACGGTTTATATCATCATTGGGTTGCCGATGTTGTAACGTAGCAAACCTGATTTCTAACGAGTCGTCAACTATAGATTATGCTACCTCCAGATCTCTATCGGAATGCCTTAAAGAATTGTCACTCCTACCTTCTTATCTTTCTTTGGGAATATTTTGTCTGATTTTTTCTTATGGTTAAAGCGATACTTTTGTTGTCACTATAACAATTATTTAGATGCAATCTTTTATTTTCTGAATACAGAGATGACAGAGCACTCGTGTCAAACTGACATGTAAATAGAACGTGTTTTGAAAAGTTTCTGTGCCCGCTATCAAGGCTAAAAAATAACAAACTTTAACAGACATATTACAATAGAAAAACGTTCGTATTTCGGAAGCAGTATATAAAGTCGCCTTAATTTTTAATGTCAAATCGGATAAAATTATAAAAAGAGAGGGTTTCTATTTGACAAAATTGTGTTGTTAAGCTTTATGCAATTTAATTTTTGCTCACCCTGTATTGATTTATATCAAAAATATCCAGAAATATCCAAGGAGTCCATTCAAAATTAAATGATTAAGGCTGCCTTAAAGGACAAATTGTTAATTACAGACGTCATTTTTGACATAAAATTTGAGATTTGTTGAAGATGGTTACACTTAGGTGTAGGACATTTTGAAATATTTCTAACAGGGTTCTAACTTAGGAGCATTACTATTTCTAATTTTTATTAATGACGTCGTTTCAAATGTCAATGATACGCAGAACCTGTTATTTGCGGATGACTTAAAAATTTATACTTCCAGTTCCAGTATTGCTGATTGTGTTACATGGCAGGAATCAATAGATACACTCTTTGACTGGTGTATCTCAAATGAATTGAGTCTTAACGTAGGTCTATCTATTTTCAATATAGAATCTCAAATATTGTTCTCCGACGTGTTACAGTTACTAAAGATCTGCATAACGAGCATTGTATCTGAGGATAACTCTAATTAAGATTTTACCGACATTGCTGCTTTGAAGGCCCTGTATTTTACCTACGTTCGATCTAAGCTTGAATCCGATTTACTCTTGTCATAGTTGGGCGGTCGATGGTGTACAAAAAAAGTTCCTGTTCAAAACAGAAGGTGCGTATCCACCGAAAGGCATAAACTACGAATTTTACTTGGAAAAATTTAATATGATTAAATAGCCTGGAATGTAGGTGGAAGTGTCTGTCAGTTTTCTTTGTTTATAAATTGCTACACAACATTATAGATAGTCCGAATCTACTAGAGTATTCAGATATTTGTGTACCACGGCTCAATTCGCCCACCAAAGTCACCTTTCACTGTGTTCTTGCAAGAACAAACCTATTAAAAAATTCGCCTATAAATATAGCATGTTCCAGTTATAATTGTGTTCCGGACGTGTGTAACATATTTAACTGGGGACTGAGGGAATATATGTTTGATGTTTAGTCGTCGGTAGCTCGAATCAAGATCTATAGTTATTCTAATTTCTTTGGAGCTCACTTTGTCAACCTGGTCGAACTACTAGCCAGAATAGGTTAGGTTACATTATATTACATACTGTTTTTTTTTTTTTTGTTACTATACATTGCTCTGTAAATCGATTGTTTTCTGTTGAGCAATAAAGCTAATATTATTATTATTATTAAAACAAGGAAGCTGATATTTAGCCCAGATGAACGGAACACCCCATATGTATTAAAATTAAAAAACCTAGATGAAATTATTTAACTTCTATTAATTTTTTTTTCTAACGTTCGTGGTTTCTGAGTAATGGGGATAGGAAAAATTATTTCGGACACGCTGTACGTTGAAAAATAAATTTACATCGACAGTCACGAACTTCAAACGTGCGATTGGCCACGGAACGTTGGATGTGACGGACTGGAACTGCCAGTACCGCTTCCGTCGGGATCGAGTAGTAGCAGCAGTTCGTCTTCTCTGAGAAGCAGAGAACGCGAACGGTCTCGCGACGACACTAGAACCAAATACTCCCCGCAACCCCCACCGCCACCCGCACAACCCAAAGCAGTGGTCACATCTAGAGGACAACCTAGACAGTTGCATCAGAACCAAGAAATTATTAAGGTAAATACATGCTCACGTTTAGAGGAAATATAACGGACGGTTTTACTTTTCCAATAGCAACAACTCTACGCGGACGTCGAGGAGTCGTTGCCTCCAGCGGAAGAAGTTGAAAATGATAGACAACAGCGGGTTTATCGCGGTCAGCCTTCCACGGTTGGTCAAGTTCAGCGCGACAGAGACGGTTATCGACACACAAACGCCCTGCCGGTAAGTGACATTTTATTTACGAAATCATGCGATCTGCGTCTTTATTTTTTCTTTTTTTTTTATTATAGTCATACAAGGACCGTGGAGAAAAAATCGGAGTCATCTCGTTCGGAACGCAATCACAGCTCCAACATTACAGGTAAATATAGCGCTTAGACTCCATTAAAGTTACTTAAAGTGACGTAATCTACAGTAACGCAACTGACTTGGACGAAATAACTAGTAATGACTTGACTACGAAGAAAAGACGAAAAAGACAAGCACGCCGAAGGTAACCAACCATTGACCGTACACGTCGACTGTTATACTAATACTTATGAATACTTTCTAGTAGATTGCGAAAAGAAGCGCGAGCTTGGCAAAGAGATAATCGTAATAGATATCCGCCCTATGCGGACGACCCCATAGAAAAAACGCGGCTCGCTTTACAGGAAAGCGAAGACGAGTTTAAACCCTTCGTTCCTCATTATAAAACGGTTCGCGTGGCGGCTGCGGCTTCGAACGAAGTGCCCACGTTTAATCCCAACTATAACAATCTTTATGCAAACCCGTTGTCGTTTCACCTGCCGAGGGGGGATAAGCAACAGTCGGGTGCATATTACACCAACTTTCAACCGATTCGTCTGGCGACCGCTAATTCGGACGTGGTGGCGAATCGCGTGAAACACAAGCGTACAAAACCGACAAACAAGCCGCGGGGCTTTACGCAAGCGATAACTAAGGGGTATCAAGACGATACTCTGAGAGAGGAGAACAAATCCCAGCCACTTTACGAAGTGAATGAAAAGCACGAGGATCAAAAGCCTAAGCCCACGCACGGTCGCGAAGAGGAACGAGAGGGTGACGAAAACGAACGAGATATTGAGCGTGAAAAAGATTCCTCGAAAGAGGAAGAGGTCGAAGCTCCTCAGAATAACAACAGTAACGACACGAATACTACGTCTTATGAATACAATTACTATACGCCTGAGGACGACGGTTTGGGTCCTCCGCCCTCATTTTATAGCAACAAAAACAAATACGAGGACATCTACAATCCATTTGAGGATCCTCACTTTGATTTCGATCAATTTTTAGAGAAACTAGGCTCTACCACTACTACAACTACGACTACTACCACGACCACTACGACGACGACTACGACACCCAGACCACCTCCTATACGAATACCGCAGGTTAGGGAACATAGGGAAGAATCTAGGCCGGTTAACACGAATTATTTAAAAAACGTTAACAACTACCAGCTACATACAGTTAGGCCGATAATCACAACGAACCCAAATCCGGTGGCAATTAGTAAAAATATTTATTCCGCAACCCCTAAACCCGTCAAAGTCGTAGAGGACGATTACGAATACAGTGAGGACGAGGAGGAGGGTGAAGGTGATGAGAAAACAATTGCACAAGAACCCAAAAAAATATACTCCAGTCAAATTAAATCCGATACCATAAAAAACGTCGTAAAAAAACCTCCTCCTCCTCCGGTGGAATACGAATACTACTACGAAGAGTACGACGATGTCGCGGAACCAGCCGTAAATAAAACTGATTCGCCCGAGAAAAGCGAGACTAAATATTCCGCGAGATACCAGGAAAAATTAACCACGCCGAAACAGGTAATCCCAACGAATGAACCTGCTGGTTTCAGTACCACCCACGGCTCGATCCCGTTAAATTATTCTACCCCTTACATAAGGCCACAGCCCACGGTGGCACCGAAACGGGAAAGAACCACACAAAGGACGACTGTACTTCCAAAACTTAAACCTTTAACTGCCAAATACGAACGTGATTCCAAACAAGAGCAAACGAAATTTGTAACCAGGTAAAAGTAAATTTAACTCAAGTCACAAGTCCGAATATGCGTTTCAGATTTTCGAATTCGTTTGGGTTGTTTGATTTTACCTAAGCGCGGAAACGGTTTGGGTTTGTTATTAATTTTATTCAATCATATGTATAAATCATTTTAGTCTCTTTAATTATGGGCATGTTTTATTGACTGCATGTAACTAATAGTGTAATAAAACTAGTTAATACAAATACTCCTGTTTCCTTTCAGTTAGCAATTGACAACCTACCTAGTAATCGTCCTGTATATAACTCACTAATGTTGCGACAATGTAATATACTCCGTGTACAACTAATAATATTTTGCCTAACCTTGTGTCCACGACATCGTCGATACCTTTGGACCGTTCCGGAGCAAAATGCGATTAACAAGTGTCAATTCTCTTCTTAAGAGTAGACTAGTTGCTCTTTCAAGCAAACAAGCGAAGTTTTCTTTGTCTTTACGCAAATTAAATTGTAGCCAGGAAAAAAGCAGCGCGCAAACTCCGAGTGCTTCCACGGCTACTGCGACAGCACGCACACTGTACAATAGTAGCCAATACAACAATAACGATAATCGTTACGATCCTTATTATGCCCTCTACGATGATGTCGAATTGTATCGAGATGTCGGTGAGTAAATCGGAGTCCAGAATGTACTGCAGTACCGGTACATTGCATTTCAAATTCGTTTTCTAGATTACACACAGCAAAACGGTTACAATACAAATGGCGGTAGCACTAGGTCCGCTTCGTCTGGATATAGGGGTTCCCAAGCTGCCGTGCGCGAAGAAACGCCTAAAAGGGGTACCACCGTTTATAACGTAGTCAACCAGGATATTTACCAACAACCGTCTACCGTTACAGAGTACAACGATAACGCATATCAGGTAAACGCCTGTTGCACCACACTACACTACTTACAATGTGGTACATGGCGCGATTGTTGCAGGAAGATGACAACGCCTACAGACAGTCCAACAGACAATCGTCTAGGTGAGTATAAAACCATTCTAAACCGCGAGGGAATTATATGTTGTAAAAATAAAGCCTTAGGGGAGACAGGAATGAAATATACGATGTAGAAGACGTACCTACCACTAAAAGAACTAGTTCAACCTCCATAAGAAAACTCACCACTTCAACCCCCAGAATTACTACTACCACGACGCAAGCGCGAACTTTCCCCCCTAAAAAGAGCACAATCACGCCAAGGTACTACAAAATAAAAGCATAAGCTTGCCAGACACGTCATACGCGAATAGCTTCGCTAGCATTTTTGTGGTATCTTTTTGACATCTCGCGCGTCCATCCTCGAAATTAACACTCGTACCGCCAAAATGGCGCACATCATCGCATTATCATTTAGCACGTAATATAAATTTACGCTAACACTTACATAACATTTATATATTTATAGTTCGAGATTTAAAAAGAAATATCGTTTATTTTAGCGCAGATCCTGTCAAAGCGAATGAAACCCACACACAAGCACTGCCAATAAATAATACAAACCCGGGACACATATTCGCTGATCCTGATCCCGGATTCGATCCTACGCCGTCGACCGTGCCTATTTTAACGCCCATTCCCGACACAACCATAGACTCTACTTTGCATGAATCTTACGCTGTAGTTAAGGAACCAACCCCGTTTGTCCCTCCCGAGCACATAATTAGCGATAAATCTGCTTTTCACTTTGATATAAAGGCGCCCAAGTCAACTCACCAGATCTCTAGCACTGTCAGAACTTTAAACGACATCCGCCTTAATAAAACGATTTTGACGAATGTAAAACTTAGTACCCCAAAGTTTGAAAATATTTTGCCGACGACTTACTCGCCCCCGAAGTACCTACTTCAGTCGATTTTGCCTAAAACACCTCTATTTTCATCTCCAGCATTAAGTTTTAGACCGATCAACAGAAATCATTCTAGAACCGTTAGACCTACACCCAACTTACAGAATTCTTACAAAACAGTAAAGCCAATAGTAGTACGAAAACTTATCAATCCTGTAATTGTTAATCACGAATTGTCCGCTCCGGGCGGTGCTACTCTCGAATCCGCTGAAAAATTTGCTGACGATTATGAGGAGAATGACGATGAGGATTATTTCGACGGCGATGAAATGACATCTTTGAATGCCGCAAACATTTCTAGTGAACAAATGTCCACAACAACGGCGGAACTCACCGTTACTACCAGCAAAACCACTATCAATCTCAGGGTACCAGCTGGTTCTACACTGAAACCGGACACTAATGAGAATTTGAAAAATCGTTTATATTCCCTGTTATCTAGAGAAAAATCGAATCGATTGCCAAATTCCGCGCAAAAGAGCAACAAAACTTTGAATTTGAAAAAGAAAAAGTTAGTCGACGACGAACGTAAACCAAATTTGACAACAGACGTTAAAACTGACGTTCCTGTGAATACCTCATTCCCTACTAGAGTCTCCCGGGTGAACATGGCCATAAAATCCCTTATCGCTAGTGGTGGGACAAAAGGAAGCTCGAAATGTTACGAAAACAGCCCTAAGTGCAAGGTCAATGCGAGACAGAGGTACATCTCAGCTGTCCTGATTTGCATGGTCATTGCACTGAAATTATTTTCTCTGGTTGCACATTTCTTTTTAACCGTATTATAAAAACACGCTTGAAGTAAAGAGTAGCCGGTACAGTAACTAAATTTAGCGAGACTGGAAGTTGACTGCGGACCTTTCATCCCGACATTTAACACACCCTCCATTTAACACCCACATGCCGTCACACATTCACAAAATATCGTGGGGGTAGTTACACGTTAATTAGCAAGTAATCACGTAATTATTAGAATTATTAAAGCTTGGCGAATATATTTGATTTTAACTAGAGGCTGAAAGCAAACTAAAAACTGCGAAGTTCCCCACAATGCATGAGAATATATGGTGGGATTTTTTTGCCGTTGTACCGACCACTCGTGGTAAGTAAAAATGATTCGCTTCGTTCTAGAACGAATTCTCGAGGGCGCGGAACATCTCATTACTCCGCCGGTTCGGTTGCCAACAACGAAGTGACAGTGAACACTAATAGAGGAACTCCGGCGCCGTAAGTCGTCTTTATGTTCGTTGGCGCGATATTTCTGACCCACGAGTATTTCAGTCGATCTAGACCGACTCTCAAGCCATCTACGTCGATTGTATCGAAGGCTACGGAATTCATCGATATCTACAGATATCCGCCCAGACGTCCGGATCCGATCTATCCTCAACCACAACCCGACAAAACTGCGGCTAAATGCAGAAAAGACGTGTGCTTATTGCCCGATTGTTACTGCGGCGGCAAAGATATTCCCGGTAAGAACTTGAGACCGTTCGATACAAATTGACATGGTTGGTATAGTTTCTTTGTCGAGAATCGTTTCCTTATTTCAACTATAGGGGAGCTGCCGGTCGAGGAAACGCCGCAAATGGTTTTACTGACATTTGACGACGCAGTTAACGATTTAAATAAACAGTATTATATAGATCTATTTGAGAACGGACGCAAAAACCCCAACGGTTGCCCAATATCAGCTACATTTTACGTGTCTCACGAGTGGACCGATTACAGCCAAGTACAAAATCTCTACGCAGATGGCCACGAGCTGGCCTCGCATACAGTGTCGTAAGTGGCCTTTGATTGGCCATTTGGGGGATGGTACTCGTTTCCTCTACACCTTTTTGTCACTTGTTTTAATGTTTATTTCTTGTTGCGTTCGTTATTGTCGCGTTACGACATTACGGTGACGATAACGTAACGTGTCTAGTTCTGTATAAAACGTCAACTCATAATTCTTTCTGTTTCCTGCTGCGCCTACTAACCAATAGGAGATATCCCGGTCGAACAAGTACCACAGATCGTACTGCTTACGTTCGACGATTCCGTAAATGACCTCAACAAAGGTTTATATCAAGATTTGTTCGAAAGGGGTCGAACGAATCCGAACGGGTGTCCAATAGCCGCAACATTTTACGTATCTCACGAATGGACTGATTATAGTCAAGTGCAAAATTTGTACGCCGACGGTCACGAGCTAGCATCCCATACAGTTTCGTAAGTCAACAGTCGATTGCACCCAAACAATATCATCAGTTGCACTCACCACCGCCCTTAACTTTTTCCATTAGATACTCGCTTGATTCTAATCATAACCGCTTCATTTCAAACCTTTTTAATGATTGCACGTGCGGCATCTATTCTCTAGGGTTCGCGATTAATTAATTTCGTTCGCTGTAGGCACAGTTTTGGGGAACAATTTTCCCAAAAGAAATGGACTCGCGAAGTTGCCGGCCAAAGGGAAATCTTATCCGCCTACGGGGGCGTCAAATTAGAGGACGTCAGGGGTATGCGAGCTCCTTTCTTGTCAGTGGGCGGTAACAAAATGTTCAAAATGTTGTACGATTCAAACTTCACGTACGATTCGTCGTTGCCGATTTACGAAAACAAACCTCCGAGTTGGCCGTACACGCTCGACTACAAGCTCTTCCACGACTGTATGATTCCACCGTGTCCCACCAGGTCATATCCCGGAGTCTGGGAAGTGCCTATGGTGATGTGGCAAGATCTGAACGGTGGTAGGTGTTCCATGGGAGACGCTTGCAGCAATCCTCCAGACGCCGAAGGAGTTGTGAAAATGTTGCTGAAGAATTTTGAAAGACATTACACCACCAACAGGTTATTATGCACAGTCTGGTAAACTTCTTCGTCATGTAATTGCTTTGTTTGTAGAGCTCCATTTGGCCTGTTCTACCACGCAGCTTGGTTTACGCAACCCCACCACAAAGATGGCTTTATTCAATTTGTCGACACCATTCTAGCTATGAAAGACGTCTGGTTCCTCACCAACTGGCAAGCAATTCAGTGGGTTAGGGATCCTACGCCGAGTTCGAGATTAAAATCTTTCCAACCATTCCAATGCGATTTTTCGGTAAGCAATCAAACTAAAGTTGACGTTCGTATAAGGTATATTGCTTCTGCCCCGATGCAAACAATAAAACATTTTTATTTTTGCAGGATCGTCCGAAGAGGTGTAATAATCCGAAAGTATGTAACCTTTGGCACAAATCCGGGGTGAGATACATGAGAACTTGCCAGCCTTGCCCCGACATCTATCCCTGGACCGGTAACACTGGTATCCGCAGCAGTAGAATCGACAACGATATCGAAGATTAAAGAAAAGCACGCCGAAAGGTGATCATCGTAAATTTAAATTATTTTTAGGCCATTCGACATTAATTTTAATGTTGGTATTGTTTAGGGGAGATACCCAAATTATTTATACGGAAAATTGCTGATGTTAATTTGGTGTCAAGTTTACGTCGAGTAACTTCATGCCTGTTTAACATCCAGACTGTGGCCTTAGTTAAATTGTAAATATTTTCAGCTACAGTTACCTAATAATAAAATGATTTAGTACTGCCGGAAATAATTTTCTTATCTGATAGGGGTTGAGTGTTGAGTAATCGCAGATGTTCTGCCATTACGACGACAACAATTTGCAAAGGGACATTCAAAAACGTATTTAATTTATTGTAAAACGGATTTCAATTCTGTTGTGTGTATCGATTCAAACGTGTGACCCAGCGAGTGACGAATTGCGCAATAAATTCTTTTCCTACCTCACGTTTTATTACCTGACCTCAAACACCTGCGGCTGATTATTTATTAAATTCAATCAAGACTGGATCCCCCATAAAGATCCAAATAATAATTTCCGTTTGAGCATTTCGAATATGAGAGCTTTGCGGGTAATGTGTCTCTACTTTCTAATCCTACACACAAGAACGACAGAGTATCGCAAAGGCGAAAATGAATTAGTCAAAAGGGCCCTACAGAGGTCTCACGAGAAGTCGCAAATCGAGAAACTCAAAGAAGCATTCCTCGGTAAAGAGAAGTTCGACCAAGATGCGTCTTTGATCGAGTTACTCAAGACGATTGCCAACGAATACTTTCTCGGATGCACGGCGATCATTCTGTACGATAATTATACTCAAAAAGACGATAGCTTGTTTTTGAAGACCCTTTTCATAGAGTATCCGCTATTATATGCGCATGCGCTGGTTGCCAGCGAGCAACACACCCGCAATTTTGTAGGGAATAGGGAGACATGCGTAAACTTTCTGGTATTTATCAAAGATGTGATGAGATGTCAGAATTATATCGGCAAAAGAAAGGAAAAAGTTGTTGTTGTAGCCAAATCTTCGCAATGGAGGGTAAAGGAGTTTTTGGCCAGCGAAAATTCTCAAGATATCCCCAATTTGGTAATAATTGCCAAGTCGGATCAGATTATTCGTGACACGGTAATATATCGGTTGCCGATATCCCAATTGTTCGGAAAGTCATTTTAGGGAGAATCGCCGTACATACTATACACGCATAATCTATTCGTGGACGGTTTAGGTTCAAGCAAGCCAATGGTGCTGACTTCGTGGTATGGTGGAAATTTTACTCGGCCAATGAACCTTTTTCGGCCGAAAATGAGGCACGGAGTATCAGGCCACAGATTCGTTATATCGGTGGCCCACCAACCACCGTTCGTTATCAAACAGTAATATTTTCGACTACGCACATCGAACAGCCGACAAACGAGAGTTCTCAGAAAGTCAGCAATAACAAAAAATAGAAAGCGCGTTTTTCGGTTGTTTGAAATTGCTTTTTTGAAAATAACCCTTGTTTCGACGAATAGGCAAACAAACAATGACGAACAAGAATACGAGGGCATCGAAATTAGGTTAATAGAGCTGCTTGCCGAGATGTACAATTTTACGATAGATTACAGGGAAGCACCAAACGCGAAGCTCTTAGGGTAACCGAACTGGGATTGTATCGTTTTCTGGAGTCATTCGGGCGAATTTTAGAGCTGCAGAAGCGGTCTTAAAAACGATCGAAACAAACACCGTTAATTTAGGACTTGCTGGGTTGTACATTACAGATGACCGCTATAATTCGGGAACATTTGAGTGGCATTCTGAAGACTGCGCCGCGTTCGTATCCCTTACATCCACGGCACTGCCGAGGTTGCTTTCGCAAAATTTAATAACCAACACAAATTCGAGACCATAACATTTTAGGTACCGTGCTATAATGGGACCATTTAGATGGACCGTATGGTTGACTCTAACTTTGGTCTACATGTTCTCCATTCTTTTGTTCTCGTTTTCCGATAAACTGACGTTGAGGCATCTGATAACAAACCCCGAAGAATTAGAAAACTTATTTTGGTATATGTTCGGCACGTTCACCAATTGTTTTACCTTTACCGGGAAAAATTCGTGGACAAAGGCAGACAAATTAACCACAAAACTACTAATAGGTAGGAGAAACGTTGCCTGCTAAAACCAAAATGCAGTCCGGCCATGTTGCAGGAATATATTGGATGTTCACGATAATAATAACCGCGTGTTATACAGGGTCGATCATAGCTTTCGTGACCTTGCCGGTATTTCCAACGGTCGTGGATACTATTGACCAGCTTATAGCCGGTCGATTTGATATAGGGATGTTAGACAAAGGAGGCTGGCAGAACTGGTTTCACAACTTAACAGACGCGAGAAGTAAAAAACTTTTACAGCAGCCTGATTATGTACCGAACGTCGAAAGTGGATTCAAGAACGTGACTAAAGCGTTTTTTTGGCCTTACGCCTTTTTGGGCTCTAGGGAACAGTTAAAATACATCGCCAAGACCAATTTTACTATAGAGTGAGCGAATGGATTAAATCGGCTCCTGCTCTAACATTGTTGCTTTTTAGGGGCAAACGAAATTTGCTTCACATCAGTTCGCAGTGTTTCGCAACTTACAAAGTCGGTATTTTAATTCCGACGGATTCAGTATACAAGAACCTCGTCAAGCGAGGAATACGATTGGCTTTTGAGTTTGGACTTGTAGACAAAATGAAATCCGATGTTGAATGGAAAATGATGCGCAGTTCAACCGGAAAACTGCTGGCGGTAATAATGACTAAATTTTGTTATAACATAAATTAAATTTAACGGTATTTAGGCCAACTCAAAAACGGGCCTTAGATTTCTTAGCACTGAAGATAGAGCTTTGACACTAGACGATACTCAGGGAATGTTTTTGCTACTCGGAATGGGATTTTTAATAGGAGGTGGAATTCTGATGTCTGAGTGGTTTGGTGGTTGTTTGAAGCTATGTAAGAAGAATAGCGACGGAAGCTCATCAGGTAACAGCTCCATTCCCAGCAATCCCAGATTCCATGAACGACAAACTCCGAGAGCACATAATTTAAAGTCTGAATCAATTGAACATCTAATAAATGGAGACTCGTTAGTTGAATCGACGGACAGCCATTCTGAGTCTAATTACAGTGAAGAAATAAGTAAAATTTTCGGCGAAGCATTACAAAATCACGTGTCCGAAGACGATACAGAGTAAATTGTTACAAAACTTTGCGGAATAGCAAACGAGTCATAATGTCTCACTTTTCTCATTTATTTTGTGTTTAAAACCACCTAATCAATAAATAAAAAATGGTACTTCAATAAAAATACGAAACAATTTATTTCGAATATAAACAACGAGAAAGGATTATTTAAAATTTTGTAGTAAACATTTTTTAGGCCTTTATATAGGCAAATGTATAGAGTTAAAAGAGATTTCAGTGATATTAGCCGTCGTGACTAGTTGGGTATCCGAGACAAAGATGTCTCTTGCTGTAGATTATTGAATTCATGTAAACTAACTATAAAACTGTCACTAGAATAAATATTTTGTGTTTAATAACTGGGATTTATTCATCAAGTTTTACGTTTTGTTTTAGCAACATAAAGCTTTCTTATATGCATATCAAAATAAAGTTTTTAATTAAATGCTTAACAAAGATTTGTTTAAAGAATAATTTTTTTCTACAAAAAAATAACATTCAAGAATTTGCAACCACCTTAATTTCCAGGCCTTATAAATTATTTGAGGTTGCAAAGTAGTAAGTGTAATGCCCTGGTTTGAACACCGATTTATGTTTAAAGCACACCAACAATAATAATTTTGGCAAATAATACTGAAACATTTAACAGTCATAGTGTGGGTAAATCAACGAAGACCTGTTTTTTTCGCTTCCGAGTATTTCACCTCTTGCTCATAGATGGCAGTCAAACGAGAAGCGGAAAACTTCCATAAGCGGTGCCATGCTTAAGTATATTTTAGTCTCTGCTTGTTCCTAATCGGCTCATTCATATTTTACAGCAAATCGTTGCGTCAAACAGTGTTGTGTAGTTACAAAGTTTATGTCTCTGAAGACGGACTCGGTCTAACGTTTATTTACAAAACTACAAAACAGTTTAACGACCTGTTATTAACTCTAAATTAGGTCTACCTAGTTTATTCGCGGTATATTGATGAACGAAAAATACAGATTATTATTTTTTAAAAACGATCCAATCTTAACCTAACCTAACATTGGTCATTCGGTGCCTGCTTGGATTATGAATGCAATTTTTGTTCCAGTGCAGGTTTTGTTTATATTGTTTGGTGTTTTTCAGCTAGTGGAAGAAAATCGACTAACATGCCTTCGTGAACCGTTGTTGGCCTTCAATATTTGTTGGTAAGTTATGATACATTTGTTTTCACCTCAATCTTAATAACTTCATTTTTCTGAGTACATAAATAAGTACGTCAAAATTGATATTTTTTGAAATAATTAGTGAATTCTGATAAATTGTACAGTAGATGATTCCACAGGTCCTTTTTTAAATTTATTTTTAAGCAAGTGAGGCGGGTATTAAGATATTAAATCAGATAATGTAAATCTATTCCGTCACTCAATCTGAATAAATGGATTAAACAATTTTATGAGACGATTGCTAATACAGGTAGCATTGATTTTCCTCAGGCCATATTAAGTGTGCACTGCATTTGAGAATAAACGATAAAAACTGTTGCTAGCAAAGCAAAGAAATAGAAAAAAATCATTCTTACACACACTAGCTGGGCGTTTTTGCATATCTAATTCGAAAGAAACGAGTTTTGTAGAATAGTCCATCGTTGGAGTGACTTATGAATAAACAATTTAGATGGTTTTCCTGTTTAGGAATGTGCTATGATGCTTGTGTTATGTAAGATAATCCATATTGTCGCGGCCGTGAAAAAATATTTTCTAGGACAAATTTGTGCGAATTTATAACGGACGCCGGTCCCTTGTAGACAAAGCAATATCTTATAGGTATCGTAAAATGATTGTTGTAAGATACCGCCCACCCAACGTCCGTCAACTTAAATTCAACAAATAAACTAAGTGAGAGAACGAAAGCAAACGTTGTTAATTTGTCACTTCTCGTCTCCGATTGACCATTACATATTCGTAAAAACCAAAATTAATTGATATGCTAAAGAAACGACAGTTCTACGAGAAAACACGTTCTCAACGGGAAAAAGAAGACTTGAAGCAGACAAGTAAAGTACCAGTACAGTTACCCCATCGTGTATACGACTTTAATTGACTGCTATACGTTCACTGCAATTCCCATTAAAAATTATAATCTTATCGGAATAAGAAGATCATACGCGATTTTCGATGGGTGGTGCAATAGAAATGAAATTAATCGAAAATATATATATCCTTAGGGACAAAATTCGACACAGACTGCAAACATATGGTATGACTAATATAAGTAAGGGGAAACCAAATATTGACTGCTAGACACTTGACACGTCTTTGCTATAAGGGGCAACGCCCTCAATATTGGCGTGTTTAGTCTAAATTAAGGCCGGCCTGACTATATTGTAATTATTTTTATTCATAAAGAGAGCGAATTAAAGAACTTTTGTCATGCTCACCAACCCTTCACATACTGAGTTACGCGAAATATTTGTATTTTGGGAGACGAATATTTAGATTGGACTCAGTGCAACTTGAAATTCTTCTCTCGTTTGCTACCTGACCCCGGTTTGAAGTTTCTCTCATGCCGATATCTCTTTTGCGACTGTCAAAATCATACATAAACGTCTTGTTTCAAGTCCAAACATTCCCGTGCAAGAACATTTTCATTAAATAAGGCTTCTTGATGCCGATATAACTAGCCTCATCCCGACTATTTGTCAAAGTGGTCTTGTCTGATGACTAAACTTGTTTTAAACAGGACCTCGAGGAGGATGGTCGAATTTGGTAAAACAAGATGGCGGAAATTATGCTTTCAAGTTTAATCCGTCAGAGTGATTTACAATTCGATTGTGGGATGATCTTTGGTTTGTATTTTTCATCGGTTTTCTTTGGACAACATATGACTGATTGTTCTTCCTTTATCATGTCGATATTCCGTTGCGAAATTTCGTTCATTGAAATGTTCATTTAAATTCGAGTCACCTAACGTGCGAATGCTAAATTCGTCGAATCATACGCTGGTCTTGATGATTCACATACGTACATGTAGACTATCGTGCCAAGAAAAGACCACAACGTACAGCAGCAGTAATTAGTTACGTATACAGTTGGACAGTGTCGACTAGTTTTTCTACACAACTTATTAAGCTTGAAGATGCTTTAATGTGTATTAATAATTCTAACTTTCTCGTTATAAATTATCGTCATGTTTTTTTTCTTCTGAAACTGTGTGAATTATGAAGAGGAAGGCTGAGTGAAAAAATCATCTTGAGGAGAGAAAGGACGGTGATGGGACGCAAATGATTGCCACTAAAAATTGTAACCTCTTGCTCGGGGTGCCGTGATGTCTGCACGCGTTTAATTGAATGGGCAATTAGATTTTACTTACGTTGTCACGAAGATTCATATACGTACTCTTAGGGTATCGAATTTGCAGAGCGATCGCGATTGAAAGTGAAATAATACTTCTAATTTAACTTATTTCCAAGATTCTTGTGTGCTGTGGTTCTTTTGTTGGTTGGTGTGGTAGTCTAAAGCAAAACAGGTAAATAAGTGAGTGAACTCAATATATTTAGTCTTTATTGGAAGTAAGGTAAGATCTAAAACTTGCTTGTTATAGCTTTCCATTGTTTTCTCTGATATATCCCAAGAGGAAGTGTAATACTGCAAACTACTATTTTTTCAAACAGCTTATCGAGCTTATTGTTCAGACTAGATTATAGCTTTGACTGTTGCGAGAAAAAATATATCTACTTACATATTGTTGGTTTGATTATTTGGTGGCATTTTAGAACTTAGGCAACTATTGTCGCACTTTTGTTTAAAAAAATTCAATTGATTTCAATTATTTCGATGGTTTAATATTTGTTAATTTATTTTCTTCTCAAAATATATATTTTTTGCGTAATTTTATTTATAATACGATGTTAGAATATTAATGTTTTTTTTGTTGTTATAATTTAAAATAATATATCAAAGATTTAAATGTATTTGTTTAAAAAAAAGTTATTTCAACTAAAAACTAGTGACACACTAATGATTTTAAGCAAGGTTCCCGTTTACCTACTGCTAGTTTTTCATATTATATCGTACACACTTTCGTCTTGTGATTGTAGAGAACCGAAACGAAACCTGAGCTAGCAGTTAATGCAAAGTGTTTATCAAGTTTTTCTATTAGACCTGAGGTTAAATTGCTAAGCGTCGAATCTATTTCAGCGAAGCTGCCCTCAGCGACACTGCCGCTGGCACAACGCGAATGAATTGCAAAAACCATTATTTGTCGGTCCCGTGAGCAGAATTTCTGTTGGGAAAAATGCTGCAGCCTTACTTCAGACGGTTAACGTTCAAATGGCGGGGCAGTAAATCTGTAAAACGATCCCTCTGTATTATAACCGATGTTAATAAAAGGCCGGGTTTCGCAATATTCGCATAATACCTAATCAAAATTTTAGCACTTGTTAGTTCCTTCGAACGTGACTCGCCATAAGAATGAGTATTTAAATGGCCGGTTTTTAAATTATCAATAAGCTCCAGTATCTGCGCGTTTTTCCGCGACCACAATTTATATAAAGTATTCGCCCCAGTTATTCCTTTACGGTTTGTATATATAAAAATAATCTCACCCATCGGTCTTTATTGTTTATGGTGCTTGTGCGTTATACATTGACCTATACGTCGCAATATATCTTGAAAATGTTAACATAAACAAACATTTGATGGTTTCAGAGCGATTAGCTTTTTCATTTGCGTGTACTACGATCGAGATTTGTAGAAAACGCGAGAAATCGGAACTACTGAATTAGATTAGGGAAACCGAGTCTTTCAAAACATTTGTTAAACGCGTGCCAAATAGATAAAACTAAAAGAACTGGGTGGTCAAGGATTATCGGCCTTAGTGTTTAATCTGAGCGGCCTACATTTTTGTTGTAGGTAATCGTTAATAATAGCACGTTATTTATTAAAAAAAAAAACAAGAATTTACTCCTTTCACTGTTTGACAAATTTTATGTTGGTAATAAAAGCTACTCAGGAGATATGGGGTGTTTTTCTAAGTCTCGGTATGTAATTACGGTGCCTGAGAAAAACGAATACTGTCCACGTCCTTTAAAACATAACGACTTCCTCCGTTGCTTCTTGGCAACGGATAATGTGACATCCTCTATTAACGCAATATTTTTGAAGCGATTTTGGTATCGCGGGTAAGTAAATACGGGGAGCGGCTTTCATTTTAAACGAAAAACGTGAGCTGGAAATTTATTAATGATGTGAAAAATCCGATTTGCGTTTTATTGACATCTCAGATCATACCTGGTAACGGTTCATTTAACAAATACGTTGAAATCCGGCCCAACGGTTATTATTGTTGTTGATTCGATTTCACATAATAAATTATGTCAAACTTCTCGAAATGGCTTTGATAATTTGAACGCGAGTTTTTGCATAACTTGTTTATTAATCAATTGCTTAATAGTTGATACATATTATAGTTTGTTTACACTTTTTGCTTGGTTAGAAGTTTGTTTACTTGTTCTTGTACAAAATTGACATTCAAAATTCATTACTAATGCAAATTATATCTTGTAGAAATCTATAGAATTGACATAAACAGAGTTCTTGTTTGTTTTTCTGTCGGTACGATGACCACGCGTAATTAACTTCGACGAGGTAATTCATCGAATCCTTACCAACAAATAATACATAGTAGGTATATGTTATATTCTTACAGATGTGATGTTACTATTACCTCTTATGTTTCGTTTCTCGAAAATGCCATTAATGTCGATTTAATAGAAATCTTAAACGGTGAAGAAAGTTGCGGTAACGATTCTTACTTCTGGGTATAGATTCTTCTCAAGTAAATAATTACGATTTTAATCAAACAAAAACCCAAATGCAAATAGCGTGCCGTGCGTGGGTAAATAAACGTTGAACTTAAATTTATTTTTGCCGATTATGCCGAGTACACTTGGCCTTCACATTTGACCAATATTTTATCGCGCTACGAACGATCTTTAAGGCGTCCGTGTAAACGAGTTTATTTTATGCAAGTAGATTTCGTTTTTAGCCATAAGAAGAAAGCCGCTACTAGCTGTTATCGAAAATTTATCAGGGAAATGTCTTTACCGCCATAGACCTACATACGCAAGAAAACAAAAACAATAGAATGCTATGTATTTTTGTCAACCAAACGCGGTAACGCACTCACACTACTCTCGAATGGTGGA